TGCCGGCGGTAAAGCGAAGGTGCCACCATAGAACTGGAACAAGACTTGAAGGGCGCACGCCTCTGCAGATCCTTGATCGGCCATCGCATGAAGCTCCACGTTCAAGCTGTGACTACCATCAGAAACCACCTCCCATTCCCGCAGTGAAACGTTCTCGATTGTTGTAGCTAGAGGATCATGATGCACCAAGTCAGACACTCCCTTACCGAAGCACCAGTCGAAGAAAAGCTGGTACGCCGAAACGCTATACTTGGTTGCGTCACGTGTCTTGCGGTTCTTCAAAAACCCCTGAAACGCTTCTTGCATTGGCAGAGGAAGAATGTGGGTCTCTTCCAGCTGCGGCTGCGGCGCCATCGCAATATCCTCAACGAAATAAGTCTGGAGATGGTATTTATGGAGATTAGAGATAGAAGCAAGAAGAGGCTAGTTGAAAGTCATTTGACAAGTAGAGTCTTCGTCATTTGGTTGCTATTTTGATTCGCAGCTGAGTCACTTTCTGTCTTGTAGAATTTTCCATGTAGCAACTCATCTAGTAGACCAAGACTCTAACTAGTACATTCCCCGCCCACATCTTCTTCTTACGAATTGTGGAGTAGTCGTAGTTGATCCAGAAATGTTGCTTCGGGTCTGGCAGCTTCTCCACCTCGAAGAATTGGAGCAGGAAGCGGCTAACGTCGTTAGGCTCTTGCGTCAAGAGCCGAAGCTTCATCTGAGCCAACGACCACAACGACAAGCAGCGTCTCTGGGATGATTTTAAGGAGAAGGAGAAGGATCGTCTCTAGAGGTCACTACAAGAAGGTCGCCAGTTCTTTTCATGTGAACAGTAGGTAGGACGGCCATTTGCATGCGTAAGCGCAAGGAAGTCTGTAAAGTGGCGCTCTCATTACCCTCTTACCTGCAGCGAGGTGGCGTCCGTAACTCGTGCGACTTTCGGCTTCTTGTTGCGGATTTGTTGATCCACGTAAGCCTTCAGACTCTCGATGATGTCTTCTCTGTTCATGCGATCGACGTGAAGGATGAGATCCCGAAAAGGACAGCCAGCGACAAACGCTGCCCACTCTGCGTCGGTCGCCTTGAGCTTGCGGCACAAGAGGACGCTGACCTAGAGGACGTTCATGGATGTTGTTGCTGCGTGTAGAGGTTAGGTTATTCCTGAGGATCTCAATGGTAGTCTCTCTGTATTCAGTCTACTAGTTTTTCGATTGCAGATGAACATGTCTCAAATTGCTCCAGGTTTAAGATGTTATAGATAAGCGCTACGTGACTTATTTCCAACAAGGATCATCCTCATAAACATAGCACCAAGTCCGCTGCAGATCCATCGAGCTTTGGTTCCGCGACATGAGTGTGCTCATCGCTCAGACCTTTGCGCACCTTCTTGCACATTTTCACTCCGTTGTTTCCGTCGCCAGGAAGTGCCCACTTCAAACGGAAGGCGTGCCCTCCACTTACTGGATCAAGCTGAATCTCGTGCCACATGACACGAGTCCGCAGCGGAAGACTCCGGGCACGGAGGTCCATGCTATTAAGATGAGAGCACTTCGGTGACGTTCTGTCTCTTCGTTTTCTATCTGCTAGGAAGAGCCGCTTTTATATTTCCTACAACATGTTGAGAAGACCCTCGAGATTCCTAGTAGAGTCCTCAATAAGTAGCAGACCAGAACAAGCCACTTTCTCCATCTTCGACAGGCTGCTTTCTTTGGGCCGATTTCGAAGAGCTTTCATCTTTTGCCAGCTCTTATTGGCTCTCACTCACTTCGCTCGACATGCACTCCGGCCGTATCTTTTCGAAGCCCTTATCTTGGTGCAGACACGATGCATCGACGGCGAGAACCACCAGAAACGTCGAGTATCAATTTGGTTTCTTATTTATGGATGCTTGTCATCTGGGTGAAACGTCAAAAGTTGCGAAATGGTTTCTGCAGTGCATGATAAGACGCAGCTGCCGACACGCGTCGAGTGGTTTCTTTATGAAGAGCTAGCCCTTGCAACGTGGCATGTATATCCATGCACTTCATATTCAATTCAAAACACCGTAAGACTTCGCGTGACTTAGTAGAAACTCCCGAAGGAGAAAATCGCTGACAGTATGGAAAGATCGAGATCGTTAGCTAATACCTTAGAAAACTGAAAAACCGAGCTAATTGATGGCAGGAAGATGTTGTAGACAAGAAAGCTGAAACTTGAAAATACCTACATCACAAAAATGGATCTTAGTACTTGAGGAGTCAACCAATCTGCTAAATGTTGTAAATGGAAACTAGATAACATCAGATATTTCGATCCCAAGACTGAAGCTGTAAGGTTCAAATAGATATCTCAATAGTTCCCAAGTAGCTGTGGCTTCTATGGGTTAGTCATTGTGTCAAAGCTTGTTCATGCTTTAGAAGTCGTTGCCTAGGGTCTTCTAACTTCGTCGAGACTTCCGCTACACCCCAACCACAGTCCACCGCAGATCTAGCTCCCCGCGACACCGTCACAGCGTGGCGTTGTGTTGAGGAGCATCGTCATAGACTCTTACTCGAGCTTCGGCTGCTTAGCAGCAGCGCCGCGCCCTCCTCCACGGCCGCGACGCTTGGGCGCCGGCTGTGGGACCTCTGCACTGCCATCGGTGGTTGGGTTAGCGACGGAGGAGGAGCTCGAAGAGGACGCTTGAGGAGCAGCAGGTTGCGGCAATGGAATCGCAGGTGCCGCACTGGAGGAAGAAGAGGAAGATGCAGCTTGAACGTTGGGGGCCGGCGGATTGACCTGTTACAGTTGGAAAGCGCACGAAGATGGGCTTAAGGAGGGTAAAAGAAAACTGTGGAGGATGTTGATTAAGAAGCAAGCCTCTTTCTCAAGGTTTATAGATAAGCACTTTTCATCAACTCAATCTGAGCACAAAATAGTAGGTCGTGGTCTTAGTGATGAATCTAAATAATCTAAATCTTCTAACTTCTATACCGTGGCCGCGGAGCCGTCACCAATTGCCAAGTGGTTAGACTGGTTCATTGCCATGGGGTTCATTCCGAAGAACTGGGACATCATTCCCATCGGGTTCATATCCATTCCGCCATAGCCGCCCATCAACGCATGCAGGGAGCGGTTCTGGTTCTGCATCTGTTGTTGCTGCATGATGCCAACCATGTTACGAGCAGCAGACGTCGTCTTCACCTTGTGCGCATTGGGCATCTGCTGGTGCAAGTTCTTGTAAACCTTGGTAGGATACTCGTGCGACATGTGCTTCCCTTGAGCGTACTGGCTTTTTCCCACCGCCAGCTGTCGTGACAAGAGAAGTTATGAGTTATGAAAGTCCAGTTGTGAAAGCCCGTGAAATTGTAGGAAGATGTTTGCCAAAGTAGGATGAAGCCAAGGCATAGCGCCAGGGTCTGAAGATCGGAAGTTTCTTCCAGTTTCCTTTTCTCAACGTCTTACTTAGCACCCACATTGTCTAAGGTTGAGCTCTAACATTTGCGATACCTGCTTCTTCGGGAGATCTTCGTTGAGTCCTTCCAAGAACCAGCGAAACTGCTCCTTATCAGTCATCTTGGTTTCGACTTCAGACTGGCGCTGCTTGGAAAGTGCAGCAACAAGCTCGCACATTTCTTTCAAGTCCAAATCCATCAAGGCTGTGGGAGAAGGATTGTGATCTTCTGGGAGGGAGGTATTAAATTGAAGGTCATGTAGTGAATTACTATTGGACAAGCATAAGGTTCTTCATCCAGTTCTTGAAGGAGTAGCCTTGCAGTCGTTCCGCTAAATTTGCTGAAGTCATAAATCTAAATTATCTAAAGATTCTAAATCAGCATAAAGATTGACGCACTCGATTTCCCTTCGTAGTTGCGTTTCGATAACAAGTGCACAGCACAATAACCACCAGCCTCAGCATTCAGCGCGTCACGACGCTTTTCCAAGACAGCTATCTCAAGATTCACAGCCTCGAGAGTTTTCTTAGCTGCTTCAGCATCCAAATTCTTCTCATAGGTGTCGAGTGACTTCTTGTTGGCTGGCATTTTGTTGGTCTCTCGTTGTGTGGTCTAGTAGCGACTATCCTTATTCTACTCCCTCAAAGGTTTACCTTAAGCTTTTGACTTTTCTTCCATGCATTTCATGAGCATCATAGGTCGTGAGTAGAATCGTCATCAAAATCAAACCAATATAATTCAGCCAGCCTATCACCAACTAGGACCATCTTCTTCTCAGCTGCCTCGTCGTGTCTTCTTCGATCCTTCTTGTTGTCTCTTCATCTCTCTCAGGTTTTCTCTCGTCTGTTTGCGAGCACTATGAAGACCGGGCGATAGATGAGGCCCCATCGACTAGCTGCTGAACTTCTTGCTACATTCACGATACGACGAGCAAGTTGATCAACAGGCTTCGCCAGCGGATTACTTGTCTAGTTCTAGATGTTGCAAGTGCTCGCCATGGTCTACTATCATAGGAGAAGGACACGTAGTGCAACGGCTTCATCTTTGGACACCTTGCAGCAAAAGTCCTAAGCGTTCTGACCCGAATCCACAGCATGGAGCTCCATGAAGCTGCAGCTTCTCCTCCATCTCAATCTTGGGCTCACTCGGACCACTGGCGAACCCCCTGATCGATTCGCTCTTCACTTGCTCCAGCAGCACTGCAGCCTTCTCCCCTGCGGCTTTCTTAACTAGCTATCTTAACTACCTTAACTATCTATAGAAAATAGCTAATGAAATTTTTCAAAAACCAATTTGTAACCATCTGCAAAAGTAATCGTATGCCATCGCCATATGCTTGTGCAAAGAAGTACAACTAGCGCCGCCATCACCTTGTGCAGTTTGTCCTGTGTCTTTCAGAATGTCTAAGTACGCGCAAATGAGGGAAAGACGGAACCTCGCAGCGTTGTACTGTGTCACTGCGAGGGTCTGAAACACGTTTACTGAAAGAGAAGGTTCACCTGGCCGTGGACATGAAGAAGTTGTTTACCATTTTTACCACTCACGGGGCAGAATACTTCTGTACATTTTATGCTAACATACGAGTACAGTTTCAGTCCGCTAGTGGTCCTGTATCCCCTGATGGGCGTCGTCTACAGGTCTGTAATGTAAGGAAAGGGTAGATTGAGTTTGAGGGTTAGGAAAATGACTGACATAAGGATGAGTGTCATCCTTATGTTGATTTCGAGGAGGTGTTTTTAGGTCATTTCTGGAAAATTACGAGAGGGAAAGAATGTTCTTGTAGGAGCTCTAACTACAACATTCAAGATTCACTAGTACGGGCTGCTCTGAACGTGAAGCATGGCACTAGCTCTGTATTACTTGCGATGTGTTGCTCTGTGCTTTTTTTGCATGAGACAAGCACAAGTGCCAAGAACAATGAATATTAAAGCAGGACACATGATTGATTGATTGATTGATTGATTGATTGATTGATTGATTGATGTGCCTGGCAAGAGGTCCCTGTTGTTGGAAGAGATTTCATCTCTCTTTCTCTTCCTTTTTTGATCCTCCTTCACCCACTTAGCATTTGTTGAAATTCAACACTTTGTTGCGTTTGATCGGTCATCGCTCTAAGCAATTGCGGATCCAGCCAGGGGCAATTCCTGTGCAGTGCCTGTCGGTCTGCGGGTCCGAGTGTTCTTGTACCGGCACTGCCAAAGGAAGCCAATGGACCGCTATTCGTATCTTGTGACGCACCATCAGGAGATAGTGCAAGCAGCAGACGTCGTCGTACCGAACTTCTTCTTGCCTGCGAACCTCCAGTTGGACTCGTAGTCGTGCTATCACCGTCATCAACATCTTCTTGGTCATGATCGTCAACATGGTGGTCTGCGTAATCCTCTCTGACAGAGTCCCTATTGATATGATTACTACGAGGATCTCTCCCACCTCCACCACGGCGAGCTCCTGCAGAAATAGATGTTGAAGATGAAGTAGCCCCTGCGACGTTTCTACCACGATTTCCTGATCTTGTTGATCCAGCATTCTCATCATCCATCTGCCCTAACATTTCACTGCCAAAAAATGACGTTTGATTGTCGCTTCCACCGCTTCGATTGCTACATTGCCGTCTTAACTCGTGCACTGGCGCACGAGGACGAGTTAGCATGGCTGTAAGAGCCAAGGGGCCCCTTGCTTGTGGTCGTGGAAGATGCCTCGTCCGGCCGCTTCTCGTCGACGAGTTTGAGTCCTCGTCCTCGTATAATGTACCAGCTTGTTGTTGTTCTCCCCCACCAGATGATAAGTCTGCATTCGCGTTGTGGTAAGCTGCATTCACGACAGGATTCAGACTAAAAGAAGCTTGGTGCTGCTGTGGAAACGACCCAGATTCTTCCTCGCCTGATCGTTCATGAATTACACCTAGTAAAGAGGAGCTCCCACCTGCGCCTAGAGCAGGAGGATCTTCACCAAGTACATCCTGGGCATCGTGATCGTCGTCTTGATGTACCGCAGACCTACGTCGCCCCTGTAGTCCGCCGCGACCCGATCCCGAGTGTTGAATTAGAGCGCACTCCAAGTAGAATGTCCGTTTCTCTTTCCCTCATGTCCATCTTTTCCCTCAATATATCCGTTCCTATTTTTCTACTTGAAAACAGCTTACAGAAGATGGGGTAAAAGATGGACTAAGTGTATTAAGTTGGTAAGTTGTGTTGAGTCCTTAATTGTAGTTCGAGAAGCTCTCCGCCCTCAAGAACATCTTCTACTTCTCCTGTTACAACGGACATTTGCGAGTCCCTCCATTCTTTCTGCATGATTAGGCTTCCTCGAAAAGCGGAAACAGCGTCGCCTCTACGCCAAATATACGAGGAGGATGAAGTTGCTGCCGAGGAGTCAGCTGCCCTCGCTCCGGCAGTGGACGAGTTGTCCCCAGCTGTGCCGTTATTGGATGTGTCCCCACCACCACCACCAATGCCACCACGACCAGCACTGCCACGCCCTCCTCTTCTGGGAGCAACTTGAAAATTGGTGGTGCGATCCCTTTGGCGATACAGCAAAACATCTTCTATTTCCAGTTCGTCTGGGGGTAAGTGCAAAAGGCCTTGTAAATGTTCCCGTGGGCAGTCGTAATCGCGCGTCGAGCGCACGTCCATGATGTGCGCTTTCATGCTCTCTGCTTTAGAGCTACTTCGCTCGCATCTTCCTTCAAAGTCGTATCCTTGGAGGCAGCTTCTTTTTCTAGTACTTGAAAAAAAAGAAGATCCAAGCAAGGATCAAACAACATGATAGATAAATATAATTGAGGAGATGTTTTATAAGCGGTGGCCTTAACTTCCTGTGGTAACCAGCTGCCATCGAATTTATCCGCTAAAATCTTATCCGAGTACTCAAAATCGAGAAACAAGTCCACCACAATGTAAAAAGTACTGCGCAACAGTAGTGCGGCGACCACCAGCGTCACAACGTGGAGACCTACTTGCAACCAAGGCACTTCGTTCCAAATGAAGTAGTCATTGAGGTTCTGAGGCGTGTAGAAAACTGCGATGGACATGAACCCGACCTCATAACTAGCGATTTTGAGGACACAAAGCTCCGATCGGAGACCTCGGTAATAACTTGTCTCTCCAATGCGGACGCGGTAAAACTTCGCCACCATCGTTGCTACAGCCCAGAATTAGAGGAGCTGATATTCTCCTCTGTTGCTGCTTAGACTTCTTGATGGGAATCTGACGAAATGAACCGAAGAAATGAACCGAAGAAATGAACCGATGATTAGATTGAAGAGTCTTGAAGGACTATTTATAATGTAAATCTGTTGTTCATCATGACCACCTGAAGATTATCCGTATTAACAGTTGTTGAAAGTGGACACGTTGAGATCTCTCAAGGGGAAAAACGATCGTAAACGTTGTGTCGTTGTTCGTGAACACCTTAATCTTCTGAGCGTCAGCGAGGAAGATTTTTCAACAACAAAATAAAATTTTATTTTTCCATTCCTGTAAACTGTTTCATTTGATGAAATGGTTATGATTTGATTCATGTTAGAGATCGATAATGTGATCGATCTCTTTCCTTCTCAACGAGTAGACAATTAGATTAGATCGATCGATTAATTACTTCTCTCGTCGAGTTTTCGTCTCAATGAACTCATTTAGTTAGACAGCAGGTTTCAATTCCTGCTGTCTTGACTCCCGTGACCGAAAGGAACTCTCGTAGATTTCAGGATCTCACTTTTCCCCTTCAGTAGAAATCAAAGATCAAGTGCAGGATTTCTTATCACCCCGGGGGGTATTGAAAATAAAAATGAGATACTTGCTACGTCATTAATTATATGTTATTTTTCTTCTTTACATCATCTTCACCACGTTGATGGTTTTTCACAGTGGACCATCAACCACTTTCGCCGCGCGCAGCCCCTGGCTCCGCGATGACTCTCCATGAAAGTTCTGGCTTCGTGTATTTCTCCCCTGGAGAATTACCCATTTCATATTATGGGTCTCGATTTACAGTCACCATGTGACTTTTTCAAAAATCGACAACGTAGCGCTCGTGTAGAACCCCTGGCCCTTCTAGTATCACCATGCGATACTTTATGCGTCTACGTCTGTCGTATAGGTTTGCTGTTAGTGTCGTTTGTTCCAATGGTCACTCAGTCAGTCTTCTTCATCTGTCTGCTCTAAAAAGCTCAGACTAAACTCGTAAGTAAAAAAATCAAATCTCTCAATTCCTTGCCATCCTCGTCAAGACAACTCCTTCTGGTCTGATGACAGCGGAAGTTCCCATACGAAACGTCTTCTGAATAATGCGATCTCGCCCCTTGCAAAAGTCCATCCTCCGCCTTGCATTGCCCGGTACAGCTGTTGGAGCTTCTTGCCGGCCGGCACCTTTGTAAGTGCGTCTGCGAGGTTATATTCGTCTGTCACTCCCCCGATCTCAAATAGACCATGAGAGTGCAGATTTTTCAGTAGAGCGAGTGGCTTATAGACCCTAGCATCCTGTACGTCAATCGCTGCTTTCGACCTAAGCCGTGCCGTAAGTGATTTTGAATCCGTGATCAAGCTCAGATCCTCAGCTGTGCCTGTCCATGTTTCTACCTTCGCAACGTGTGCAAGTCCTACGTCTATAAATTCCCTTGCTGCCAGAAGTTCGCCTTCGTATGAGGAGGCCGTTACTGTGTCGCTGAATGTGACATCTGAGTAGAGTATTGAGCACCTCATTGTTTGTTCGTTCGTGTCGAGTCCTCTCTTCACCTCCATGGTGCCCCTAACCGCTTCCTCCAAGTCAGCCTGGGACACAGACAGAAGCACCATTCCAAGAATCGGCTTCAGTTTCTTGGCTTCCTCCTTCACGTCTCCTTTCGCTATCGTATATTGTTCTATTGCGTTATACTTCCTTTTCTGTTCTTCGAGTCTCTTGCGCTTCTTCGAAGTCGCAGATTTGGCTGTCGTGTATCTTACTGGTTCTACCTTTTTGTGCCCTTCTTGTTTCTTTACTTCTTTCTTTGTAAAGGTTGTTACTCCTACCCATTTTTCCTCAGTTCCGATCTGGTTTTCTGGGTCTTTCCAGTTCTTGTCTTTATCTTCGAATTTAATCCCACTCTTTACCTTCGTCCCGTTGGTGGTCCTGAATTCGTAATCGTTCAACCTCGTCTTCAGCTCTTCTGTTTCGGGCTTCCAGAGCTCGGTCCTCGGAATCTGATGAACAATTTTGATTTGCTCGTCCTCCACGATCATAACGTCCTCCTTCTCTGTTGGTACGTCACTCCCTTCGGGCACATTTGGCCCTAGGTACTGCCACGACGAATCCGTCAGGATTATGAACGTCTCATCCCCATAGGATAGATCAATTACTACTCCTGCGTCGGGCATGGACTTTAACCTACGTAGTATTTCGTTTAGCATTCTTGCCTCGCGATACTTCTTTGCTGCGTCTTGTCCTAGACATACAAGTCTTATTGCGAGCTGCACATCTACTCGGCATGTACTTATATATAGTACCGCCCCACGCTTGGACTTCAGCTGTGTCACATCTGCTGCTGACAGTATGTCCTCGTCTTGTTTGCCTTCGGAACTGAATTCCGTAAGTGTCTGTATCTTCCTAGCTACGTCTATCGTGATTCTCTTCTCCTCGTCTGTTATCTCCCTACCGCAGAAGATAAACTTCCCGCGCTCCCATGTTTCTACTCCGAATTTGTTCGCTAACATTTCCATCACTTCACTAACGTGTTCCTCCTCTCCGTGAATTAGTAGGTCGTCCACGTGTACGCACATAATTCCGAGCACTTTCCCGCTTTTCTTATCTTTCTTTACATAGACTGCCGGCGCGTACTGTGAGTTTCTCCAGCCGTTCGACTTCAGGAATGTCTCCAGGGTTCTGTACCATCCCAGTGCGCCTTCTCTGGTCCCGTATAGCGGAATGTTTAAAACCAGAATCGACGTTACCCCGAGGTCGAACTCGGCTGCCATCATCACGAGAAGATCATCTGCGCGAACGTTTGATGGAAAGCGAGTACGTGGCCGCTTTTCTCTCGCCCATCGCAGGGTCTTCAGGAATGCACGAGGCACATCCCCGGACACAAGCTTTCTCTTTTTAAATCTTCTCCCGAAAGAAAGACACTGTCTCACCTCTGTCTCTGTGGGCGTAGGCGACTCGCATGTTATCCCCTTGCCTCTGTGTTGTTGGTGGCCACCAGGGACCCACCTGACTTTCAGTTGCATCATGGTGTCTGACACTCTCTTCAAATCGAAGATCACGCGTGACGTTATGGGGTTTTGTTCTTCGTCGAAGATCGTACCGTTATCCATCTTTTCGAAGAGGTCTTGTTCAAAACATGACTTAAACTCTTTCTTGAGCGCATTCTTCATGTGTAGCGGTACCTTTAAGACGTACCGTAGCCACGACTGGTCTAGGTCTATGATTTTCGAATGCGAGCGTATCCGGTTTCTCATTTCCTCGGTAAAATGTGGTCTGTCAATTTTTAGGAGTCGTTCTTCTGCATTGTCTTCGTCTATCGCTCTATCAGAATTGAAATACTCGACGATGACAATGACCTCGTTCTTCTTTCCCTCTGTTTCCCACTTTCCGAGTGCACTCCGTTCCATGAACTCTACCTCGTCTACGCCTACCTTTATTGCTTTCCTTCCCTTTCCGGGATCAGTTTCCTCATCTAGTATCCCTGCTGCGTCTTCGGTTCCGGTTTGGTTGAATAGCCACGTCCTCAGTGGTGCTCTGTATTTCTCATTTTGTGCATCGAAGAGGGCAGCATGAACTAGGCTACTGGGCAGACTGTCGCCCCGTAGTTCTCCTCCTGCAAAGTCTTGATTGAATTCCTTCAGGAGCGTGAAAGCTAAGCCACGTCTTTGTGCTCTCGTCGGCTTTATCAGCTGTAGACTTTCCTCTACGGCCACCCTGTCGGCCGTTACCATCTCCTTTGTTCTTATTATATTTTCTGGCTCTAGTGGGTTGTCATCCACAGAGAAAACCACCTCTTGAAATTCCATCTTTCTGGTCTTGCCCTTCTTTCTCCCTTTTTGTATATTTTGTCCCTCTTCCTGTCTCTCTATCATTCGCGGTCGCGCTGATGACGACGACGACGATGATCCGCCTTCTTGGTAACTCGGAAATGTCACCTTTCTCTCCTTTCTCTTCAGGGGCAGCAGGTTGTCCTCTGCTGCTGTTACGGGCCTCAGTTTTGGTCTTCCTGTGTTGTTCCCTTGTAGTCGTAGAAATTCCATGTTGAGTGGTCTTAACTCCGGGAAGGTCACGTGGTAGTCATAGTTCGCCTTTGGTTCAATCTGTGCTACGTATACTGGTGGTTGGTACGATCCATTCCCAGTCTTTATTTCGCATCTGGGTTCTCCTACTGACGACGGCAGGTACTTCACGAATGTTGCTGGGTACCAGTTTGTGTCTTTCCCCTTATACCGTATTTTCTGTCCTTCTCGGTATCTGGTTTGTAATTGCAGTTCGCGTCGTTCTCGTGCCCTGATTTTTCTGGCCTCCTCCACCACGTCCTTTTCGAGTGTGATTGACCGGTGGTAGGCCTGAATTGCTTGGCTATGTTCCGCTCTGATGAAAGTCGACGCTGCCGCCTCATCCATATTGTACCTTACTACTGCGTCGTCTTCTATGGTTGACGCCTCTACTCCCTCATACGGTCCAAATTCGCATGTGTCCGGGGCCAACCCGTCTAGAGCGCTCGTCGGGTTTCTCCCTATTATCCTGTGTATTTCGTTTAACCTGACGTTTAGTGGCACGTTTGCAAAGATAGGGTCTCTGATGCATTTTGCGTCCATATTTCTTACAGCTAGGTGTCTTCTCTCGATAGGTGCAAGCCCTGTTTCATTTCCTGTCGATGTTGCAAAAACATCTCTGACTTCCTTGTCCCATTTCTGCGTGCATTCACACGATATGTTCTCTCTCCCCTTGTCTATGATGATGGTTCCTCCTTTTGGTGGCATGATCCTCATGTCTACTGCCTTGTCGCACAGCTTCATCACCGCGGCCGCTGTCGGTGCGCCTCCTTTCCTTAATTCTGGCACCGAGAAAACATCGCATGCATTTATTGCTATGCCTTCTCTTATCCTTTGTGCATCGTCCTGGTCCAGCTTCTTCTTCGTAATGTATTCTTCTATGTTCACCGAGGTGCCCGCGGTCACCTGACAGCTCCTCCTTGTCACTAGATTCATCAGGACGCACGACGCGTATAGGATGTTATCACCGGGCACTGCTGCGAAAAAGGCCGTGTCGATCATCACCAGTGCTCCTGATGTGTTCCTTGATAGAAGGAAACCTCTCATCGATCTGTTCCTTGCAGCTCTCTGGTGCTTAATCGAATACTCATAGTTGTTCGATGCCAGCTCTACTAGATACGCTAGCCTTGCTGGGTTTATTCCTTGTAGCTCATTGAAGACGAGCTTTAGGAGCTTTTTCTCCTGCGGCCAACCGTGTTTTATGGCCATGTTCTCTATTTCTCTATACACTTCGCGATCTGCTTGCGACAATCTCTTTGTGCCAAGATCAAACACGTACCTTAGTTCTCTGAGCATCGACCCTTCGGGTGGTCTCTCACCCACTCCGCCATCAGGTCTAACTTCTAATCCTCTCTCGAAAAGTGCCGTCGGTGCGGAGCAGTGGTTCACTGCAAACTTTCTCCTCTTGTGTGCTCGTGCAAGTAACTCCGCAACTGCTACACTTACTCCTACTCCTGACTTGCATGTGATGCATACTCTCTTCCTGCTCCCGTGTCGGGCTGACGCGTTCATGATATCTAGGAATAATTCCTCGAGCTCGTTCATTTGTTCTTTTTGGCTCATGACCACGTCCTGGTAGTCTTTGTGCAGACCCGTCTTGTTCGCTATCTGCGTACTGTCGTATATTCTGTGCGTGTCTAGGTAGTTGTCCACATTTATCACCTTTGTGCTCGTGATTAGACTATATGGCACAGTGTCCACGTGACTTTTGGTGAAGATCTCTATCTCGTTCAAATAGCTCGTCTGTGCGAACTTATTCATGAGTGCACTTTCCTCGCCGATTCTAATCGCGACTGGTATGTCTAGGTACGTCATACCCTTGTACTTATGACACCTCCGCGGAATTGTAGGCTGTCTTGCCTCAGTCCTTGGTTCGGCGGGCGTAGACACGTAGACAAAGTCGTCGATTACATAGTCTCCCAGCTTAACCTCGCGCTCTATCATTACTTGCCTGGCTGAGTACATTTTGTCCATCTGTAGAACCACGTTTCCGGTGTACGCATCCAGTACCGATCTGAAACGAATCCGGTTTTTTATTTCTTCCTCTACTGGCGGTAGCCTTGTTATGTTCTTCGCTATTGTTCTCTGAACTACAAAGTACCCATTCTCGCCTGGTTGAATACCGAGTTGTTCATCTGTTGGCACTTCGAGAACGACGTCCTCCTTGTTCTCCGCCCTCTCTCTATTCCTGATCTGTGTGTCTACGATCTCACTTAGCCCGATTTCATCGCCTTCTAGTTCTTCGGCAGGAGGCTGTGGATCCTCCAGTTCTTCCATCATGCCCTTTTCTACTCTGTTTTCCGTTTGTTGGTATTCTTCGTCCTCTGGAATAGAGTCCAGTACTGGCGCTACCTTTTCCGATGTAGACGTGATAAATGATGGAACGTACCTGGTGTAGTTGTGTATCTTTCCTTTCTTTTGCATCGCCCTGATCTGCTGTAGGAATTCTTCAGAGTAGTCGAAAAAGTCTAGTAGACACTGCGTTCCTTCGTAGTCGAGCCTCCACTTGGTGGCGCTGTTCTCTAGATAGCACTCTACTCCTGACGGCTCTTCTGATCCGATGTTTTCGTACTTGTGTTCCCTAATCTGGGATATTCCGCATCTTTGTAGAATTCCTTCGCCTGCGAGATCAAAACCCGCCGGCGTTCCGTCGCTGTTGAAAGTATCAGGAACAACCGTGATCAGTGCCCATCCTCGAATAGCGGCTATGCCGTTCGATGGGAGCTTTATTCTTTTCTCGAGTGGTAGTATCGCTCTTTTCATTATCGATACATTGCTCCCTGCGGTTCCGCAGAGTTCGTCACTTAGCTTTGACTGGACTCTTACGCTTCTCGCGTTTAGGTAGCCCTCAAGTGCATCAAGCGATGTCTTTCTTAGGTAGAATTCCACGTTGTATCCTGAGTCCACAAGTGACTTGATCTGTGTGGCGCACTGTGGTCTTTGTTCCTTGATTCTCATTGCCGACTCCGTCTCGTTTCCTATCTTCGTGCTGAATCTCTTGAATTCTTCGTCCTGTTCTACAAAATTCCTGTCGTTAAGTAGGTGCTCTTCAAAATCTTCTATTTTCTTTTCTATTCCCAATTCTTCCTCTTTCCTAAATTTTTTGATTTCAGTACCAAACTCGCTGCCTTTGTTCGACTCCTCACACAGTACTTCCCCGAAATTGTCGATCATGAGCGACTCCTTCTGCATGACTCTCAGTGCAAATTCTTGTGGCACTGGTCCCCAGTCATCATCTTCCTCAGTTTCCTCTTCGTATACTTCCTCTCCCTCATCTGTAGTTCCTTCATACCCTACGTTTGCAGCCTCTGTTCCTTGCTCTGTTTCCTTTTCGTCTCCTGTCTGTGGACATATTGCCCCTAGTTCGTCATCCGCATCACTCTCTTCCCCCGGGGGAAATTGAGCAGAGAAAGCGCTGCAGAATTTGGCCATGTCATTCGCAGACCCGACATAGAAACAGAAATCTTGTTCGGCGTTTAGGTCCATTTGTACGATCATGAAGGCTGAAGGGAGGTTTCGTTTGTCAATGAATGCCTTGAAGTCTGTCGGGGATAGCACCTTTTTGACGTTAGTGCAGTCTTTAGCCACGTGTCCATCTTGAAGGCACTTCAAACACATGGGTGGCTTCGTGCAGACACTAGTGAGACATCCTTTCGAAAGGCAGTTTCTGCATCTGTTGTTCCAGAATGCATTGGGTTTCCTCTTTCCCTTGCCTTTCTTCCCCTTTTTACCCTTGCCACCTTTTCCTTTGCCTGCGCCCGAATTTGTTTGAAGTTTTCCTCCTGGTCCAAATTGACCAAGAGGCTTTCTAGGATTGAATTGGTGTGATCCTCGCACGTTGTCGTTGAGAGCAAATGACCACTCAGCAGGACTTTCACTCCATGGCTGTTCTTCGTCAACGACATATCCTTTCTCTGTAGCTTTCTTTGCCCCGTATCCGAGTGAATCTGTCAGATCGAAGTACGCATCCATATCTTCGTCGACACTGTAGTAATCGAGTATGTCTTGGATGGATATGTTTGTGCGTCCGCAGTTTCTTGTTATCTCTTTGATAGTTTGTTTGTGGTTTGGCAGTGTGTAGAACTTGAAAAATTGAGAAATTGCTTGGATGTTTTCGGCAGGGGTAAGAGGGACATGAACACCGTCTCGATCTTTGGACGCAACGCATTTTACACCTGCCTTGGTTGCGGTCACGATGTAGTTCCGGATGATGCCTGCTACACTTGCGTGCTTTGGTGGTTTCCACTGGTTGTAGGCTCTTATTTCAGCCGATCCGATGACGCACCGCGCGTTGAATATCTTGTAGAACTCCTGTAGGAGATTCGTGAATGATAGGGTTTCTGGAATCCTCTCTGAGAATGTACCAGTAGCTTGTAGCTTTTCCCTTTGCACAGTAGTAAGCACTGCCTTCATGCTTTTGGAAAAAGCATCAGTATGGTTTCCTTCTTGCGGGAATATCATTCTTTTGATGTACTAGTTCCTAGAGTGTGCGCGTGGATATAGGTATCCTCTAGCTGTCGCAGTCTGCATAAGCAGGTAGTTTTCTACATCCGCGACCCAAGAGTGAATGTCAGGCGAGTTGTCTAGAATCGGGAACTCTATTCCCTTTGTTTGGTCCAGTTTCGGTATGAGAATGTCCTCTTGTTGGTATACGGAACCTGCAGCCATAGCATCTTCCTCGAAGAATATCTGAACAAATCTGGGCATGATTCCTTTAATCTCTCCTGGTTCAACAGATGATGGCCCTGCGATTGTTGGATGTAGTTCTCTGGGAAAAGCCTGGCGCATGTCGCACGGATCGGAGTATGCTCTTGGCCTGCCAGGGGACTCATCGAAGTCGCCCGACTGAAGATTGACTCGCCCCAGGTTTTTGAACCTGGCAGCAGCGTCTCCAGTGAGATTCGCCTTCGTGGAGAAGGTCAGTGCCTCGTTAACGAGGAAACTCGAAATATTACCCTTGCCTTCTTGTGTCCGTCTTTCCTGGTCAGCTCTCTTTTGTTCTGCACGGTCTTCTATGAAGTTGAAGCTGGACGAAGAAGCTGCGGAGGAGTTAGGATCTCCGTACTTCATCCCCTTCTTACCGCCAAAACTCTTTCCAGAGTCAGAATGTGTTGGAGTACCAATGGCAAAAGCGCCGGTCTCTCTAAGTACATCTCGCTGATTTTCAGTTTGTTTTAGACGGGCAAACATCATTTGCTGATTCTTGAGTGCTTCGTGTAGTGCTTTTGTTTGTTCTTCCGCTCTTTTGGCACCCGCTTCACGCTCTGCTTTCATCTGTTCGAAGAACATCTTTTGTTGCTCAGCATTTTGTCTTGCCATCTCTTGAGCCTGCTTAACAGCAGCTTCGGATTGAGCACTCATAGCTTGCTTTTGAGCCTCCATTGCCGCCTCTTGCGCGTGCATTTTCCGTTGAATATCTAACGCGAAGTTTCTCATCTCGGTATTAGTGTTTTCATCCAGACCGGTAAAAACTTGTGTGAGGTTGTTGTTCTGTTGTGTCTGGTTTAGGTTGTTCTGTTGCGCGTTCAAATTTTGGCTCAGTTGACTGTTGTCTGTAACGTGATTATATTCGAAAGAGACGTTGTTCTGCTGTAGTTGTGTGGCTGCCGGTTGTGATTGTGAATGTCCACCCAGAGGCAAGAGCGGGCTCAGGGCTGGTGGTGGCGTCATGCTATGTTGCATAATGCTTCCGTTGGCGGGCGTTTGATATCCCTGTCCGCCACTCCCGGTTGACATATCCGTGTCAGAAGTTGACATCGTCTTACTATAGCAGATAACGCTCCGAATACGAATGACAGTAAGCAAAATATTGATCATTTCTATGATTGATTATAATTCGCTGGATCATATCTGATTATAATTCTTTCTTCTTCGCGTTCTTAGAAAACCTTAAACCTTAAAATACCGGAACAAACACTTAGGACTTTTAGTCCTTCCATGGTATCAACTCCCACGTTCGCTCCCCTCAGGACAGAGGTCTTCCTCGGCTTCTTCTCTCAACCGAGGTAAAAACCCGTCTACCTGCGTGTAGTCCGTCATGATGACCTCAAGAATAATTTTTCTTCGCTCCTAACACAAACTTTCTGGGCGTAGTTCTTATTGATCCTTTTGTGAACACTCACTTTTGTGTCCGCTTTGCTCTCTTGATTCTCTTTTGGACACTTCTTTTTTTTTTTTTAATATATATATAAATGGGGCATGAGCATTAAAACATTGATTGAGTTTTCAAATACCGGGGGGGGGGTTTCCAATGTTCGAGCCTTTGATGGGGGTTGCAGGTTCGTGTAAAAGAACTAATGAGTGATGAGTAAAACAAAATGTAAATCATGCAGGGTTATTTTCAGTAAAGACTACGTCCGACTTTATTTCGGCGAAACTTTCTAGCTCTCCTTCTTGCTTCAATCACTAGACTCATCTCGAACTTCTTATCTGCTTTTTCTTGTTCTCTTGCTTGCTTTCTCTTTTCCCGTCTGTTTAGTTGTTCTCGTGTTTCGTCACGATTTTCTTCCTCGCGTACTAGTAGTGCTACGTCGTCTATATAAACAACAAATTCCTCGACGAAATCTTGCTCGATCTGTATAAACGCTTGGCTAAGGTCTCCAAAAATAAAAGCGATGACGTACTGTAGGTTTCGCAGTGCTCCAATCATATTCTCTTCGTAATTCGTCATGTTGATACTTCGGGATTGGTAGTTATCCTCCAGGAGTGAGGATATACCGGCACGACAGATGTTTAGCACGTTTTCTTCATACTTATGCTAAACTTTCTAGATTCCTCGCGTTATTTCTCTCTATTCTAAATAATGTATACCTTGTGTTGAAATATTCTCGATCGTTTCGTATTCGTGCGCTGTGCTAGCCTTATTCACTTTTCATATCCAGAATGCACAGAGCCGTTTAATTCGGTTGTCTCCTCTAACCTAGACATTCTTCGGACACGTCCCACCTTATAGGCTTAGGTATCCTTGGAATAGAACAAACTTCTCTTCACTCCCTCCAATCTTTTTCCTTAGAGGTTCGCGTTCTCAAACTCTCTGAGAGCCCAGCTTCGGCCCTTCGAGAACAGTTTAAGTGTTCCCTTGAGTTCCTCCTTATATGCCACTGCGATCTTCACTGCAAGTGTTGCTGGCGTCTGTAGATGGCTGTGAAATTGTGCCGATTGGTAAAGTGATAGGTGTATAGTCAACAGGAAGACCCTTCGGTTCTGCTCCTTCCTGTTTCTAGCATCGTAGTCGGTTGGAATTCCAAGATTCATCTGTGTAGTGACATTGATATGGTGGCACCTTTCTTGCCCGTGGTTATCGGTGTATTGGATTTTCCAGGGCCGTCCTTCGTGTCGCTTGTCCTTGGATCCTCCGTAGTTGACCATATCTTCGATGACGAGGTCGTCAGATAGATACGCATATGCCATCATGATGATCCTCATTACTAGTGGAAACTCTGGTGGTGTTATCTTCCCTAGTAAGTTCTCATTGCACCAGCCGCATATTCCACCAATCAGAACCGCAACTTGTTTTGAGTTGTAGTTTTGCTGTTTGTAAATATCCTTAACAATGTGTAGCGACTCTCTTCCGATCATCTTTAGAGCACCGGAGCAGGTTGTCCCCTGCATCAAACAGTATTTGTTCTGGTGCGAGTCGAAGATGTGAACTCCCTCAATTATCTGTCTGATTTCACCGCAAATAACATCAATATCGCCGCCAAATCCCCACTTTCCGTAGAATGTCCGTTTCATATGTTCGGAGTATTCGGAGTGTTCGATCAGAGTTCTTGCATCGTCTGATAGCATGGCGGCGGCAACGTAGAAGGTTTCAGCTGTTGTAAGTTGACTCGGGTTATCGACGAATTTCTTTACAATCCGCTGAAATTCAATCCGCTTTAGTTTTTCTCCCCACTGTTCGTTAACGGTTTGTGTGCCAGATGCGTAACTCATCGGCCCGGGCTGAAAGCTACTGGCTTTCTTTCTTGGTGCCGGCGGCGCTAAAATACCACTGACTTCTCTCATGTTGGTACTCTGAGACGAAGATGCGCCAGTATTCGCATGGTGTTTTTCCTTCACGGTACCGGTGGGATAGACATAAACATCGTTACTGTCTTCGAACTCGTCAATAAAGGGACTCGCTCTAAAATCCAGGTCGGACGTTTTCTCCGTCCTGCCCTCTGGACCTTTAATTGTCGCTGACACGGATTTTACCGTCCCGGTTAACTCAACCGTTATCTTGTCGGTTTGTTCCAACCTTTTCTCCCTGTTGCATTGTGGCGATTTTTCATGTGGGACGAGTTTGTTTGTTTTTGCCTTCTCTTCAACGGTAGCCGCTGGCGTAAGTACGACGGCCGTTTTTCCTTTAGCGTTTTTGTTTTTTGTCAGCGTGACTCTACCTTCAGTTGCTTCCTCTTTCTGTGTGCTATTCAGCCTCTTTAGTTTTGGAGGTGGCACCTTTGGTGTCTGTTCGTGGTGTCTCTTCCTTGTGTCTCTACTTGGTGAGGACTTGTTGGCATTAGTAGAAAAAGCGACTTGTACTTGGTTGGGTTTGGTAGACGTGGCAGTGGCTCCTTCCTTAGCTGTACGTGCCATTTCGTTCTGCTTTTGATCTACTATCTCCCTTTCTGTCATCCTCACGCGTTTCGCCACCTCCTTCTTTCGTGCGAATATTTCTTCCTTTTTAAGTCTAAGCTTCTCTGCTTCAGCATCTCCTTCTGTCTTCGCGTCCTGTTTCTTCTCAGTGTCGTCGCGTTCTCTTTTGTGCTCATCTTCCTTATCACGCTTGACTTCGGAGGATTCGGATAAATCACTTCCGATTGCTCCTTCCTCTTCATCAACAACCTTATCGTTGTCTTCTCCTTCCCTTTTTTCTTCTTCGTTTTCTTCTTCAGTGGTCGGCGCGAGAGCAGCTTCCTCCTGAACAAAAACATCTCCACTGCCATCTCCGAAGTCTTGTACTGATTCTTGCGATATTTTTCTCTTCGGTTTCTCGAATCTGTCGTCAATTACGCTCCCAAGGTTCTGATCCACCTGAGCAGTTTCTTGTTTACTCTTGTGGACTTCCGGGCTGCCTTCCCTGTTCTCCTCTTCTTCCTCTGCTCTACGTTCTCCGTCACTCTTCTTATCGTCGTTTTCTTGACGTTCGGCTTCATCAGGGTTCTCGGCCCCTTGAGCTCGTTTGTGATTCGAGTGTTCTTCATTCCGTGTGCCAGACAGAGCCGCCTGACCGGATTGACATCTTGAATCTTGGTTTTCCTCTTCGGAGTCTGATTGTTCACTTGAACTTGAGCTAGAGCTCGATTGGGAGGCTGGTCTTTGTTTTTTGCGCGTCTTATTTTCTTTTGACCTTGAACGGGAACGCGATCGCGATCTGGGGTTGTTTTCCTCCTTACTCGCGTTCTTTTTGCTGTTGGTTCTCGCTGACGTGGAAGTTTTAAATCTTCCGCTCTCTTTCCTCAGTGCGGCAATGCACTTTCTCTCCTCCTCGCGAATTTCAACAATCCGTTTCTCATGTCTCTCGACCTTCTGTTGCAGCATCTGCTGCTTCCTTTTATGGAAGTCGATTCGGTCTGCGAAGGTCGAGCCGGAATCGGATTCCGAGGAGGACGAGCTCGATTCTGAGGAGGACGACATATTTTTAATCTGTTCGTCCAGGTAAAACTGGGCACTTTTTAAAAGGGTTTTCCTGGGTTAAACCCTTATTGTTTTGTAGGAGGGGAAACACAAATTGAAAAGGGAAAATGAAAAAATTTTTTTAAGTTAGGACTATATCCAAGGTGTTATGAGCTCGCTTCTTGAGAAAAAACACGGAAGGTTAGACCTTCAAACGACACTATTCTTACAAAAGTGGAAGTCTCAACCTGTTATATTTGGGCTATATACTCAAATCGGGGGATCTTGCTTCTCTAGAAGTGTTATACACTTTTATCTTCTAAAAAGCAACCACTCTACCACGCTACCAATGTTGAAAGTGGAAACGTTGAGATCTCTCAAGGGGAAAAACGATCGTAAACGTTGTGTCGTTGTTCGTGAACACCTTAATCTTCTGAGCGTCAGCGAGGAAGATTTTTCAACAACAAAATAAAATTTTATTTTTCCATTCCTGTAAACTGTTTCATTTGATGAAATGGTTATGATTTGATTCATGTTAGAGATCGATAATGTGATCGATCTCTTTCCTTCTCAACGAGTAGACAATTAGATTAGATCGATCGATTAATTACTTCTCTCGTCGAGTTTTCGTCTCAATGAACTCATTTAGTTAGACAGCAGGTTTCAATTCCTGCTGTCTTGACTCCCGTGACCGAAAGGAACTCTCGTAGATTTCAGGATCTCATTTTTCCCCTTCAGTAGAAATCAAAGATCAAGTGCAGGATTTCTTACAGTTGCTATTAATAGTTCCATCTTCGGTTCATTTCTTCGGTTCATTTCGTCAGATTCCCATCAAGAAGTCTAAGCAGCAACAGAGGAGAATATATCAAAATTATAATTTTCATCAGCCTTAACAAAAGTACAGCAAGGTGAGCAACAAGCGTATGCCTAGGAAAAAACTCCACATGGCTTCTCCTGGGATGATTTCAGCACAATGGTAAAAGCCACGAAAAGAGGTCCACCGGGTTTTGTACAGGTTATCCTTCGCACAGTCTCGCTGAGGCGAGTAGGAGTCGAAACTGTTGTCCTCGTCTAAGATGTGAGGACCCCTCAGCACCGTTTTTCGATATAGCAACACTTCGTAAGGATGACGACCTGAAGGTGGGAGAAGATTGTAGTCATATCACGGACAAGTAAGTACTATTTAATAGTATGTTGGTGAAGATGACCGAGTCCGAGAATTAGCGCTACACCAACTTACTACACGCAATTTTTACCAAGAGCAGCCCTTTGTGCGATATCGAAGACGACACCGATGAAAGAAACGCCTCCGACCCCTATGGCAACTCCTGCTCCCCACCCATGCCACTGATCGAGGACTGCCCACCCAATGTTACGGTTTCGCATCAACGTATCCATTTCCCGACTGGTAACATCACGTGGAAGATCGTAGACCTGAAAGAGGAAGAGGATTGGGTGCAGGAGTCGTGTAAGATTTGCAGTCGCCGCCTCCTGCGCACCTAGCTCGACATGCCACAATTGGCGGCGGTGACTGTGAAGGCTAGGCATACCAGAGTCGATCGCAATGACGACCATAGCATAACACACACAGAGCGCAAAGAAGCCCGGCGGGATCGTACGCGTCGCCCGGAGCGCATCGATACAAACAAACAAACAAACAAACAAACAATCTCATTGGCCTTAGAATTCAAGAAACGATTTTACTTCAAAGAACAAAAATTATATCCCAACAGAAATAAAATACCCAATAATCTTTTCTCCTAGCTCTTGGAATGTAGACGGCGAATAGCATGCCCGCCACGAAAAAGATGCCTCGAAAAACGTCTAGGATGTAACGCAGGACAATGATCGTAGGATGGTAGAGACCTATAGTAGTTTCCGTGGGCCAAATCGTGCTGCTTTGTATCGCTCTCCGCTTTGGTGAAGATGATACTTGACCTTCTTCGGAAGGTACTCCCGCGACTGGGGCTTGAGCCTTCTGCTTCGGGACAACACTGGTTTGGCTGAAGGAAGAAGACGATGCCCTAGTTGGACTTGTTGAGGAGGAGGACATTGATCTTGATGCCCGCTCTCTCCGCACTATTTCATCTTGCTGCAGTAGCGTAGACGGTGCAGAAGTTACAAATTCTGAGTCCCCGTTTGCATCTAGAGTCATTGTCAAAAGTCCACGCGTTCTAGGATCAAGACTGTCCATGTTGGACGATGACCAAAACCTTCTCACAACATCATCGTTCTTAGAGTGGTCAAGAACTGCGTGCCCACAATGGCCTCCATACTCTTCGTCTGCATCTTCAAATGTAGTGCTGGAGCTTGAGTGCGACGCTGAAGATGATGTTGAAGCGGGCCACGTATTAGGATTAGACGGCGTACTAGGTGAAGATGGGTCGTTGGCACCATGACCATAGTCGTCCTGCTGCGCCATCTGATGTTCCATAAACGAGGCAGCGTGTCCTTGTTCAGCGTGTGCCTCGTCACTGTCATCGTTCAATTGTAATTGATACGCTTGTGGAAAATTCGCCACAGCTGTTGTTGACATCGCTGGCCCTCTTGAGTTTGTGCCTGCTCCTTGTGGGCCTTGACCTTGTCGTTGGACTCGACCCTGTTGTTGGGCTTGGGCTGCATACCCTCTATGCGCGTTCAAATCTAAAACTTCTCTCGAAAAATAGTTCATGTCCTGAAACCGCACTTGAGCCAACAGAATGCAAGCAACTAACCAGGTTCCTCGGAAGATATGAGAAGGGGTTTCGTCAGCATCGGACATCAATTCGGACAGGTGGACTTCTCCGTAGCTCAGGATGCGTCGTAAACATTCAGCTTTTTGTCTGCGAAACTCCTTGACGTCGAACAGAGGCTCCAGATATTGACGCATTTCGGCATCATCCTTGATCAGGAGCTCTTCTTCCTCTAACATTTGAGAACTTTTTGACGAAGAATCTCCTCCATCACGGTCACTCGCATCACCGTCATGATCGGCCGCAAAGTGGGCTTTCCTAGAGCCTGGGAGGACATGGTCGTGGTGACTCCCAGACCACCCAGCTGAACCCCTCGCTCCCAAATAATAATCTTCATATTGATCTGTGGTGCCACGCGATCCCGCAGAGAGGAGTTGAGAATCGTTGTATCCCTCGTTCTCGAAAATAGTAGGGAAAAGACCACTGCCTTCTCCATGCCTCTGTCTGCCATGGAGGCGACTTACTTCAGCACTATGGAGACAACGTATCTGTTCACCTGCTGTTGAAGCATGATCGTCGTCTATTTCATCACCTGCTGAAGCATGACCTTCGTCCATTTGTTCGGCACCTGCTGTAGCATCTTCAACTTTATTCGGAGAAAAAAAAGCTTGAGCTTCCTCAATGTTTTCGTTTCCTCCATCAATTTCTGGTCGCTCATTCTTCTTTCCACGACTTCTTCCAGGTTTTCTTTCTTCTTTCTCCCTCCTCAGAGCTTCTTTTTTCTGCTCTTCTTGTCTTTTCAGAGCAGCCTTTCGTTTTTTATCGATTTTCTGGAGGTCGAAAAAGCCGAAGCTTCTCATTAGAATACGGCATTTCAAGGTGCCACGCCAAGCTCTCAGAGCACCCGCTGCGCCATAGGTCAGAAAGACCATACCCATTAAGGCGTATACGGTGTTGCTCAGCATGCTGAGGTCGTCCTCTCCTCGAGGACCGGCCACCATTTTGTTTTTGATGAAGAAGATCCTACTTCTACTGCATTAAGTACTACGACAACTCTACTAGACCTTAGTTGTAACAACTAAGGTCTAGTAGAGGAATTGGTTGTGATGGTGGAATTCAGATTAAGTACTTTCCTAGTAATACTACTTGATGAGCAGGTGAACCTATTAGGCAATCTGCCTAAGAGCAGTTGTAGTACTACTTAGTAAACACTCTTTTCTTGTTAGATAAGTAGTTGTACTTCTACTTACTTAGAAAAAAGTTTGGATTTGGACCCGCGGAGGGGCTTATTCTCTGGTTAGGGTAAGCTTTAGCTTCTCTGCATCCATAGGGCACGGATTCTTGAAGATTAATGCGACACTTCTTCTACATCTACTGATACTGTTAACTCAATGTGCGACCTACTATTCGAGTGACAGTGACTGAATAGAAAACAAAAAGTCAATATAATCATAATCAAGATTAACAATGGACTAATTCTTTAGAACCAAACTAACTACAACCCTGGGAGAATTGTGATGTCATCGCAAAAGACAATCGAATATATCTAAGACGAGCTATGTCATTTTGTCAACTATATAACACAAGTAGCTAGATTCACTTGCTACCACTTAGCACACAAGAAGGAAGTATATCTAGGTAGATGATTCTTCAAGGTTCAAGGTTTATTAAGGTAGATGATTCTTCAGGACAGAAGTACAACACACATCAACAATCCATGTGAATAAATCCAGCCATTTCTACTCGACGATAGTGTCAGAACTTTAAGAGGCTGTGAGCATGGGCATGAACGATCTCATTGGCCTTAGAATTCAAGAAACTATTTTACTCAAAAGAAAGAAACTGAGTGCTTCCGTGCAGAGGAGTACTCCGCCTTTTTCTGAACGAAAATAATTCGAATTCTCATGTCCGTAGGTCAGACACAGACGATGTGGACGTGGACAGTGGTTGGTGATGTGGATAACGGATCTGGATAAAGTTAGTTTGTTGTTCTTACAGTCATTGCGCTCCAAACAGATACTTTTACCAGACAAGAGGCGGGGCAAGTTCAGCACGCTTTAGAATTTTTTCAACACTTATTACAGTATAAGTATAACCTGTAAAAACAACCTCGTCTCCTACTTGTATGATCTTCATGATTCAACATTTTGATTTTCTCAAGAACTAGAAGCGCTGCTGCAAACAGAAATATCTTCACAACTCAACAGCTCTCTACTTCTACTCACCGGTCGTGTGCTTTTGAATGTTGTATCGTGGCTCTCTTAACAGAAGTTGACACATGATCACTCAATTACTGACTCTTCAGTTCATTCCATTTCCAGATTACAACTCTCCAGTGAAGTAGAAGATTCCAGGATGACGGCAAAATGGTTGCATAAATCGTAACCTCCGCGTGAATTCCACGAACCAACTAATATAGTCAATAAAATCGATAAATTGCATCTCGTCTGCTACTGCTACGTCTGTGTCTGTCTCTTGCGTCTTTGCTTTACCTTTATCCTCGCCAGCACCGCCATTGTTCAGCGTATGTATATCATGTTTAGCCACCATGACATTCCCAGCAAGCAAGTCGCTGTGACATAGTGTCAAGCCTGACCACAATGCTCGAGCCTTCTGCTTGAGACCTTGTTCTCCTTTCTTTCGAAGCTTGTCTAGGATAGCGTCGAGCCGGTCGAACATCTGGTAGTTTCGGGCGTCGCTCATGGACGTGGACATGCAGGAGAAGCTTCGCATTACCACTCACGGGGGCACAATACTTCTAGTACATTTTTTTATGGCAAGAACATACCAGCACGAGCACGACTTGTAATGTAAATCTTCTCTCTTACCCTCGTTCTACTCACCGAGCGCCGCGCCTGTTCTTCTAAACTTGAACAGCGACCACAAAAGTTGTTCGGTCGGGGTCTGCAAGGGTGGAAGGGTAGATTGAGTTTGAGGGTTAGAAGAAAAATGACATAATGAGTGTCATCTTCCTTAGGTTCATTTCGAAAAGCTGTATTTAGCATATTTTTTTTCGAAACTTATTGCTCGACATTCTTGATTAGTTGATGAATTGCTTAGTCTTCTTCTAAGCAAGATGAAGCGTCCCTTTATCTAGTACGAGAAGGAGAGAATGTTCTTGTAAGAGCTCTAACCACAACAAGATTCACCAGTACGGGCTGCTCTGAAGCATGGCACCAGCTCTATTACTTGCGATGTGTTGCTCTGTACTTTTTTCGCATGAGAAAAGTGCCAAGAACAATGATTAAAGCAGGACAGATGCTTGATTGATTGATGTGCCTGGCAAGAGGTTCCTGTTGTTGGAAGAGATTTAATCTCTCTTTCTCTTCCTTTTTTGCTCCTCCTTCACCCACTTAGCATTTGCGGATAGAAAATGCCTCTCTTCACCCACTTAGCATTTGCGGAGGAAGGTCCTGTTCTTCACCTTTGTCGCGTTTGATCGGTCATCGCTCTAAGCAACTGCGGATCCAGCCAGGGGCAATTCCTGTGCAGTGCGTGTCGGTCTGCAGGTCCGATTGTTCTCGTTGTACCAGCAGTGCCAAACGAAGACCATGGACCGCTATTTTCATCTTGTGACGCACCAGCAGGAGGTAGTGCAAGCAGCAGACGTCGTCGTGCCGAACTTTCCCTTGACGACTGCGAACCACTTGAAGTAGTGCTATCACCGTCATCAACGTCTCTTTGGTCATGATCGTCAACATGGTGGTCTGCGTTGTAATCCTCTCTGACAGAGTCCCTATTGATATCAAGATTACGATCTCTTCCACCTCCACCACGGCGAGCTCCTGAAATAGATGAAGATGAAGTAGCTCCTGCGTTTCTACCACGATTTCCTGATCTTGATCCAGCATTCTCATCATCCATCTGCACTAACATTTCACTGCCGAATGACGTTTGATTCTCGCTTCCACCACTTCGATTGCTACATTGCCATCTTATCTCGTGCACTGGCGCACGAGGACGAGTTAGCATGGCTGTAAGAGCCAAGGGGCCCCTTGCTTGTGGTGGAAGATGGGTCGTCCGCCCGCTTCTCGTCGAGTTGTAGTCGTCCTCGTATAATGTACCAGCTTGTTCTCCCCGACCAGATAACAAGTCTCGTCCACTTCCTCCTCCTGAAGCTCCTCCTCCTCTTTCCAAGAAGATCACATGGTGCCGCCCACCACCTCCCGGCGCGGCTGCATGAAACGACCCAGGGGTGGAGTCTTCCTCGCCTGATCGTTCATGAATTACACCTAGAAGAGAAGGATCTTCGCCAAGAACCTGTAATGCATCCTGGGCACCATGATCTTCGTCGTCTTGATGTTCTCCTGTAGAAGAGTTGACCTGATCCTGGAGTCCTCCGCGATGACCTGATCCTGATGAAGCAGCCCGGCGTAGTTCTAGTTCTCCGCCATCAACATCAACTTCTCCTGTTACGGAGGACATTTGTGAGTGTGAGTCCCTCCATTCTTTCTGCATGATCAGGCTTCCTCGAAACACCGAGACAGCGTCGCCTCTAGCTCCACGTCCATTGTACGAGAAGGAAGTAGCTGCTGAAGAAGAGTCTGCTGCCCTCGTTCCGCTAGTGGACGAATCCCCAGCTGTGCCGCATTTGTTAGATGAGGTTGCGACATCACATTGCAGTCCCCAGAACATCCTTGACTTCTTTCCTACTGGAAGTCAAGGATGGTAGTGACGAATGCAATGTGGAAGCGACCCATAAAATTGGAAGTGTCCCCACCTCCACCACTACCAATGCCACCACGACCAGCACTGCCACGCCCTTGTTCTCTTCTGGGTGCAACTTGAAAATTCGTAGTCCGATCCCTCTGGCGATACAGCAAGACATCTTCTATTTCCAGCTCGTCGGGGGGTAAGTGCAAAAGGCCTTGTAAATGTTCCCTTGGACAGTCGTAATCGCGCGTCGATCGCACGTCCATGATGTGGGCTTTCATGCTCTCTTCCTGTGGTAACCAGCTATCGTCAAATTTATCCGCTAAAATCTTATCCGAGTACTCGAAGTCCAAAATTAGAGGTCGTTGCAACGGGCGAATTACATTCTTCCCCAGAACGTGGTCCCTGACTCATATTTTTATCCTACTGAAAAAAGATGAGTCAGGGACGCAAGTGAAGAAGGATGTAAAAATGTGGCGGGAACGACCCTTAACAAAAACAAGTCCACCACAATGTAACAAGTACTGCGCAACAGTAGTGCGGCAACCAGCAGCGTCACGACGTAAAGACCCACTTGCAGCCAAGGCACTTCGTTCCAAATGAAGTAGTCATTGAGGTTCTGAGGCTTGTAGAGGACCGCGATGGACAGGAACCCGAATTCATAGGTAGCGATTTTGATGAAGCAAAGCTCCGATCGGAGACCTCGATAGTAGCTTGTCTCCCCAATGCGGACGCGGAAAAACTTCATCGCCGTCGTTGCTACAGCCCAAGATTAGAGCAGAGGAGAAAGACCCTTGGAGGAGGAAATGCACCAGGGAAGGTAGAGGCCTCCCATGAGATGAAGCGCTGGTGGCGTCGGCCTCGGCGCGCCCTTTTTTTCGCGGTGATCATGTGAAGACCCCCGGGGGCCAAGGCCCCAAGAAAAGGCGGAGGCGGAGTCCCCTTGCGGCTCTCCGCGTGTACCCTGCAGGCGTCCCACCTCTTGAACCCATCCCTATCAGCGGGACCGCCTTCGGGGGCAGAAGGCCGCCGAAGGCGGTCACGATCGCGAGGCCTGGCCCCTTTTGCTGGGTTGCCTTCATATCATCGCCAGCCGCCACCGAACACCCGGGGAGGTTGAAGACCAGGGGCGAGGACGGAGGGGCAGGGGCAAGGCGTGCCCGGCTGGGTTCTGTCCCTCACTGGGTTCAGTCGGATACATTCAGCACGGCGAAGGGGGTCGAGCCTTGCCACCTGCTGCCCTTGGAGGCGTTCCACCCCCAAGAAACTCCCCCAGCGAGGATCCCGCTCACTCGAGGCCTGTAGGATACCTGCAAGACAGCAAGGGGGTCAAGCCTTGCCGCCTTCGAAAGCCTTCCACCCCCGGCCTTTGGTGCTTGAACAGCCTCAGGGGCTTGGGCCCTGTAAGGCAGACGCAAGGAGCCGCGAAAGCGCGGCGGTGTTCGTTTGGAGCCCTTCCCGCCCGGCAGTCCCTCAGGAGAAAGGGTCCGGGGCTAAAAGCCCCCCTAGATCAGGGGGGGGCCTTTAGCCCTGAGCCTAACCCCTGGCATGTATATGAATATCAAGAGCAATAAAACTTCGCAAACACTTCCCTTCGGAACCCTCAACCTCCAACACCCAAACCCAAAACCTCCAACACCCGAACCCAAAACCTCCGACACAAAAACAAACAAACCCCAAACCCATGAACCCACGAAACCACGAAGCAATGGAATTGAATTTCGGGGGAAAGGGCTTAAAGCCAAAAGCTTTAGGATCTTAACGCTTCAAACTCACGAGACGCAATCCCAAAACGACGACAAAACGTGGAAAAGTTTCGAAATTTGAAAAACGCGAATCCAAGGAATTAAATTTCAGAGAAAGGGCTTAAAATCAAAAATTTTGGGATCTTAGCCCTTCAAAATCAACGGGCTCAGTCTCAAAATGACGAAAAAGGTGGAAAACTTTCGAAATTTGAAAAACGCGAAGCCAAGCGATTGAATCACAGGGAAAGAATGAAAGGGCTTAAAGTCAAAAGCCTTGGGGCCTTAACGCTTCAAACTCACGAGGGAGACTCAATCCCAAAACGGCGACAAAATGTGGAAAATTTTCGAAATTTTAAAAACGCGAAGCCAAGGCGTTAAATTTCAGAGAAAGGGCCTAAAATCAAAAATTTTGGGATCTTAGCCTTTCAAACTCACAAGATTCACTCCCAAAACGACGAAAAACGTGGAAAATTATCGAAATTGGAAAAACGCGAAGCCAAGAGCTTGAATCTCAGGGAAAGGGCTGAAAGTCAAAAATTTTGGGACTTTAGCACTTCAAACGCACAGAATTCAATCCCAAAACGACGACAAAACGTGGAAAATTTTCGAAATTTGAAAAATGCAAATCCAAGAAACTGAATCTCAAGGCAATGGCTGAAAGTCAAAAACTTAGGGACTTTAGCGCTTCAAACGCACAAAATTCAATCCCAAAACGACAACAAAACGTGGAGGATTTTCGAAATTTGAAAAATGCAAATCCAAGAAATTGAAGTTCAGCGAAAGGGCTTAAAGTCAAAAAGCTTTGGGATCTTAGCCCTTGACTTCAAACGCACGAGATCCAATCCGCAAACGATGGCAAAACGTGGAAAATTTTCGAAATTTGAAAACGCGTGTCGCTTGCCTTGCTTAGTTTCTTACTTTGGGGAGGGGGGGGATCCTAGTGGGAGGGATGTTATCGGACGCCCCAAGCTAGTACTAAGGAGCTATATATAAAAGCAACAACGACCCCGCCAAGCTTTTAGCCTAACACCCCCGAAGCCGAACCCGAAGCCCCTAGCTCATGAACCTATGAACAGCTCGCAAACTCTCTCATGAACTTGTGAACTTGAGAACTGCAGGTGAGGGACTTCGATACTGATGAATTTACGAACTTCTGAACCCATGGGCATGGCGTGGCATCCTTGTGGATGGCTTCCCCTGGGCCACTGGGTGCTTGTAGATCAGCGCTATACTTAGGAGCTGCGGCCTTGAGGCTTCAAGGCTTCAGCTTGAATCCTACAACGCGCCGTCCTACTCCTGGCCTTTGAGTTTGTTTTTTTGGCGATAAAATGAAAAACTTTAGGAACTTCAAAGTTTTTCAATTGAAACTGCAAATTTGGAAGCTCCAAAATTGCAAAGTTTTTAATTTTATGACAGAAAGATAAACCTTAAAAAAGTTGGATGCTAAGTTTTTAACTTTATTCAAAGTGGGCGAATTTTTAAAGTTTGAAAGTTAAAGGCTCCAGCCTTCCGCAAAGGTGCCAAACCTAACAGAACACCAGCAAACTCCCGGGGCCACCATTTCCAGGCGTGCCCTTTCAATGGCCGCAGGCCGACTAGCGCCCGGCCCTTCTGCTGTTCCACCGATCAACTCCGCCAGGCGGTTGTCGCGCGGCGAAGGAACCGGGGAAGCGGGGGCACGCAATGGCGGGGGAAGTGCGTGCAGAGGGTGGAGGATTCTAGTGGGAGGAGTGCTACCGGGCGCATAAGTCTAGTATAATTTTCAGCCTTAACAAAAGTACAGCAAGGTAAGCAAGAAGCGTATGCCTAGGAAAAAACTCCACATGGCTTCTCCTGGGATGATTTCAGCACAATGGTAAAAGCCACGAAAAGAGGTCCACCGGGTTTTGTACAGGTTATCCTTCGCACAGTCTCGCTGAGGCGAGTAGGAGTCGAAACTGTTGTCCTCGTCTAAGATGTGAGGACCCCTCAGCACCGTTTTTCGATATAGCAACACTTCGTAAGGATGACGACCTGAAGGTGGGAGAAGATTGTAGTCATATCACGGACAAGTAAGTACTATTTAATAGTATGTTGGTGAAGATGACCGAGTCCGAGAATTAGCGCTACACCAACTTACTACACGCAATTTTTACCAAGAGCAGCCCTTTGTGCGATATCGAAGACGACACCGATGAAAGAAACGCCTCCGACCCCTATGGCAACTCCTGCTCCCCACCCATGCCACTGATCGAGGACTACCCAGCCAATGTTACGGTTCCGCATCAACGAATCCATTTCCCGACTGGTAACATCACGTGGAAGATCGTAGACCTGAAAGAGAATTGAGTGCAGGAGTCGTGTAAGATTTGCAGTCGCCGCCTCCTGCGCACCTAGCTCGACATGCCACAATTGGCGGCGGTGACTGTGAAGGCTAGGCATACCAGAGTCGATCGCAATGACGACCATAGCATAACACACACAGAGCGCAAAGAAGCCCGGCGGGATCGTACGCGTCGCCCGGAGCGCATCGATACAAACAAACAAACAAACAAACAAACAATCTCATTGGCCTTAGAATTCAAGAAACGATTTTACTTCAAAGAACAAAAATTATATCCCAACAGAAATAAAATACCCAATAATCTTTTCTCCTAGCTCTTGGAATGTAGACGGCGAATAGCAAGCCCGCCACGAAAAAGATGCCTCGAAAAACGTCTAGGATGTAACGCAGGACAATGATCGTAGGATGGTAGAGTCCTATAGTAGTTTCCGTGGGCCAAATCGTGCTTCTTTGTACCGCTCTCCGCTGCCACGCATTTTGGGCTACAACTTTTCTAGTAGGATCTTGTTGTGCTTGTTGTCCTTGTTGTGTGTTTGTGTTTGATGAAGATGCTACTTGACCTTGTTGGGAAGGCACTCCCGCGACTGGGGCTTGAGCCTTCTGCTTTGGGACAACAGTGGTTTGGCTGAAGGAAGAAGACGATGCTCTAGTTGCACTTGTTGAGGAGGAGGACATTGATCTTGATGCCCGGTTTCTCCGCACTATTTCATCTTGCTGCAGTAGCGTAGACGGTGCAGAAGTTACAAATTCTGAGTCCCCGTTTGCATCTAGAGTCATTGTCAAAAGTCCACAAGTTCTAGGATCAAGACTGTCCATGTTGGACGATGACCAAAACCTTCTCACAACATCATCGTTCTTAGAGTGGTCAAGAACTGCGAGCCCACAATAACCTCCATACTCATCATCTACATCTTCAAATGTAGAGCTGGAGCTTGAGTGCGACGCTGAAGATGATGTTGAAGCAGGCCACGTATTAGGATTAGACAACGTAATAGGTGAAGATGGGTCGTTGGCACCATGACCATAGTCGTCCTGCTGCGCCATCTGATGTTCCATAAACGAGGCAGCGTGTCCTTGTTCAGCGTGTGCCCCGTCACTGTCACCGTTCAATTGTAATTGATATGCTTGTGGAAAATTCGCCACAGCTGTTGTTGACATCGCTGGCCCTCTTGAGTTTGTGCCTGCTCCTTGTGGGCCTTGACCTTGACGTTGGACTCGACCTTGATTTTGGGCTTGGGCTGCATACCCTCTATGCGCGTTCAAATCTAAAACTTCTCTCGAAAAATAGTTCATGTCCTGAAACCGCACTTGAGCCAACAGAATGCAAGCCACCAACCAGGTTCCTCGGAAGATATGAGAAGGGGTTTCGTCAGCATCGGACATCAATTCGGACAGGTGGACTTCTCCGTAGCTCAGGATACGTCGTAAACATTCAGCTTTTTGTCTGCGAAACTCCTTGACGTCGAACAGAGGCTCCAGATATTGACGCATTTCGGCATCATCCTTGATCAGGAGCTCATCTTCTCCCTCTAACATTTGAGAATCATCATGTGGCTCTTTAATTTTATCGCCTCGTCCATCTTGGTTAGTATCATTAGCTTTCCTTTTTCGACAGCAAGAGCAAGCACACGAAGACTCTCCACCTCCATTTTCTACTTCATCACGGTCACTCGCATCACCGTCATGATCGGCCGCAAAGTGGGCTTTCCTAGACGCTGGGAGGACATGGTCGTGGTGACTCCCAGACCCAGACGCAGCTGAACCCCTCAATCCCAAATAATAATCTTCATATTGGTCTGTAGTGCCACGCGATCCCGCAGAGAGGAGATGAGAATCATTAGTGTATTCCTCGTTCTCGAAAATAGTAGGGAAAAGACCACTGCCTTTTCCATCTCCATGTCTCTGTCTGCCATGGAGACGACTTATTTCAGCACTAGTATCATGGGCGCGGCGTATCTGTTCACCTGCTGTTGAAGCATGATCGTCGTCTATTTCATCACCTGCTGAAGCATGACCTTCGTCCATTTGTTCGGCACCTGCTAAAGCATCTTCAACTTTATTCGGAGAAAAAAGAGCTTGAGCTTCCTCAATGTTTTCGTTTCCTCCATCAATTTCCGGTCGCCCATTCTTCTTTCCACGACTTCTTCCAGCTTTTCTTTCTTCTTTCTCCCTCCTCAGAGCTTCTTTTTTCTGCTCTTCTTGTCTTTTCAGAGCAGCCTTTCGCTTTTTATCGATTTTCTGGAGGTCGAAAAAGCCGAAGCTTCTCATTAGAATACGGCACTTCAAGGTGCCACGCCAAGCTCTCAGAGCGCCCGCTGCGCCATAGGTCAGAAAGACAATACACATTAAGGCGCATAAGGTGTTGCTCAGCATGCTGAGGTCGTCCTCTCCTCCAGGACCAGCCACCATTTTGTTTTTGATGAAGAAGACCCTACTTGTTCTACTGTATTAAATACTAAGACTAATACACCTAAGGTGGTCTAGTAGAGGAATTGCTTGTGGTGGTGTAATACTAAAGTACTTGATGATGTGAATCTATTGATTAGGCAATCTGCCTAAGAGTTGTAGTACTACTTAGCAAGCACTTTTTCATCCTTGTTAGATAAGTAGTTGTAATTCTACTTAGTAAAAAGTTTGGATTTGGACCCGGGGAAGCCGATTCTCTGGTTAGGGTAAGCTTTACCTTCTCTGCATCCATAGAGCACGGATTCTTGAAGATTAATGCAATACTACTTCTAGATCTACTGATACACATAATGTGTTACTTACTATTCGAGTGACAGTGACTGAATACATAGAAAACAAAAAGTTAAAATAATGATCAAGATTAACAATGCTGGACTAATTCTTTAGAAGCAAACTACACCCCTGGAAAAATAGTGATGTCATCGCAAAAGACAATCTAGTAAGAAAAGAGCGATGTGTTTTTGTCATGATAAATCAAGTAGCTAGATTCACTTGGTACTACTTAGCACACAAGGAACTATATCTAGGTAGATGATTCTTCAGGACAGAAGTACAAGTACAACACACATCAATCCATGTGAATAAATAATCCAACCATTTCTACTCGACGATATTGTCAGAACTTGAAGAGGCTGTGAGCGTGGGAATGAACGAAAAAAACTCGAATTCTGTCTGATGATGTGGATAATGAATCTGGGTAAAGTAAGAAGATTGTCTTTCTTATGGCAATCGACCACACAGCACACATAGACAACAAGAGGAAGAAGAAATTAACAGAGATGCACCACAGTGCCGCACTCTGGCATTGCGCTCCAAACAGATACCTTGATGGCCAGACAACAGATGACGGGGCAAATTCACCACGCGGCTTTTTTTATAATTTTTTCACTGAGTACAGTATTCAGCCACTGCAACCTGTAGCTACCTCTCCTACTTGTATGATCTTCATGATTGATTTTGATTTTCATGGTCAGAGCGACTAGACCTTCTAGAAGCCTTGCAAACAGAAATATCTTATTTACCCAACAACTCTCTACTTCTGCTGACAGATATCGTGCTCCACTTGGTACATCGCTCTCTTATTCTCAACAGATGTTTCTATCGTCCATACCAAAAATATGTTGTTGAACAGCATGGTTGTTCATGTTTCACTTTCATGATCGTAATTTTAAGTACTTTCATGACCCTCCTGCATTGCAAAAAAAGGCTCATTTAGAACTTCTACTATTCTGAGGAGGCAATGCCGGTCCTATTTGCGGATCAATGCAGGGTCCAGCTGATATCAATCCATTTTTCATCAGAGGAGAGCCAGGGCGTGACCCTACTTGTGGTCCTACGGTGGGCCCTATCGGTGGCCCTGCCGGTCCTATTGGTGGCCCTGCTGGACCTATGCTCGGACCTACCGTCGGACCTACTACAGGTCCTATTGGTGGTCCTGCTGGACCTATGCTCGGACCTACCCTCGGTCCAATCGATGGCTCCATTACCGGTCCCACGACACCACCACTGCTACCTCGTCTCTTTTTCGACGCTTTCAAAGAACCTTCATCTCTCTTTTCTTGTTCATCTACATCATCCTTCTCGACACTGCAATCCCTTCTGCTTCGGCCTCGCTTCTTCTTCTGCGCAAGCATCAAGTATTCGTCTATCCGTGACTTCTCCTCCTTATACACGTCATCACCCTTCAAATGGGCTAGATGTGAACTGAGTTTTTCCAATTGCTGTATAAACGACGAGTTCGGATTTGCTTCTCGCCTACAGCCGCTTATATCTCGTATCTCACGCAAGCATGTTTGGACGACCTCTGCTGCAGATGAAGAAGAAGGTGGATTCAGCGTAGTATGTCCTAGTGAAGGAGAAGGATTAATAGTTGTAAGCGTAGTATGTCCTAGTGAAGGAGAAGGATCAATAGTTGTAGGTGTAGTACTATTCGCTGTATTCGCAGTCCCATTCCTAGTAATATCCCCTACTTCCCCGTTCCCTGCACCAGAAAACCTAGGACAACTCCAAAAATGTGCTAGCATGTAAGCGATGACCACTGAAACTGAGCGTGATATTCCTTCCTTGCAATGGACCAAGCAAGCGCCGTCTTGCCGAATCCGACATTGATTAAGGAATTCGAATGCTGGAGGTAACCAACGTTCCAACTTTTCACTCGCGTTGTCTTGCATCCGTAGTGGGGATTAGAAAGATGATGGGATGATGTAGGGGATGATTTAGGGGATTAGAAGGATGATGGGAGACGAGATATCAGTTTTAGACCAAGAGCCTCGCTTTTTATTCTTATTCGGAAAAGGTACTTTGGATCTTATATGAAAATCATGCTGAACACAATCTCAAATTAGACGGATGATGGGAGACGAGATAGTTGTATGGAGCTAAAGGGGGCGCTTTTTGCGTCCCTTATGGATCTGCGCTCCATGCACTCCATGCAGCTACTCCATGAACCATGCGTCGTGCTGGCATTGCCACTACCTTATAAGTAAATTACTCTGTGATTATTATCCGCATCTGGTACATCCTAACTCAAGTAACTTATAGCTCCAGCGTGGCTTTTTTCGTGGAAGTTCAACAGGCCTCCCTCAGTCTTTGGTGGTGTGCAATTTATGACGTATTTCACATTGTGTTTGCGCAAGAGGTTTAAATCCTTGGCTTCGTCTTTTCCGCCGATGAAGAGCCAAGGCAGCCAGGGCTCAAGCGGGCGCATGCCATGATCTGAGCTGGAAGATGATGTGCTGTCAGAGGCGTCATCTTCGTCTATCTGGAGGAATGCGTCTGACACTTCAGAGCGGCGTCGGTCGTGCGGACCATTATTGGCCGACGGAGGAAGTTGCGGACCCACACTTGACAACATGATGGACATTTTTCTTGGAATACTAGTCGTGGCCAATACTCTTACTCTTAGAATAGAGAAAGAACTAGTACCAAGCACCGATGATCAAGCAGGCGTAGGCGATACTACAACTACTGTGCAACATCATGGACATAGTGCAAGGTTATCTACTTAAGAAACTAGATCCGAGTACAAGAGCTATTTTTTAGAAGGTGCAGTTGCAGATCCTGAGAGATAAAAAAGGAAAACCACATCAATCCAATCATGAAATGGTAGAAAGCCAATCCATCATTCCAATCATTTGGTAGAGCGAAGATTAAGAAGATTGCAAGTTAGCCAGTGTTCACCGGCAGATCTTAGAGGCAGAGCAGTGTAGTTGGGAAGCAGCAACTTTGAAGAACCTGAATGTTGAACAACACCAGCTTGTCGAAAAGCGAAAAGGTCCTCCTCTTTGCAACTGATAGTGGCGACGAGAATGATTGGAGTTCTTACAACACCGGTCTGCTTCTTGGTTTTCATTTTGCTTTTTTTGTATGCCATAATACAACTTGCTTCTTTTTTTTAACACCATAAAAAAATGAATAAATTTTTTGAAACTTTCGGGTCCTTGCATGATCAGCATTACTGGGGTGGTCATACATAGATAGTGCTACAACGAAAACATCTTCAGAAGTGACCATGTATGGGTAACAATAAAGCGGGACTAGACGATACAACAAAACTTACATTTACAACTACAATCAACGAGAGTGACAGAACGTGAACGGCAAGGGGACCGTTTTCAACTTAGTACCGATATAAAATATGCTTAGAGGCGGTTGTTGTTCACCACTTGTTTTTACCACGTCCATGTGTAACAGAAGTACTGAAAAAAATATGGTTCTTGTCCCGGACCTCCAGAGTAGATGGTTGTCTCGTACCAACCTCCAGAGTAGATGAGTACTTCGTAACTCATCATCAACAGACACCTTTTCACTCTACTTCTAGCTTATTTCGATTCAGAAGTAGCGGCGTAATCTGCAAACAATAAATTCAAAAAATCTTGAACGATCCAACACTAGAAATCATTTTGTAACAAGTAGCGATGTCTTGGCGCATCAGGACCAGAAGAAGGAATCATTTCTTATATATACAACAAACGCTTTGTTGAGACAACTTATTGTTATTAGTGGATGCAAATAACAATGGCCCAAAGACTCACTTTTTTATGCCTATGAAATTCTTGACAACATTAGTGACGATCTTTATATCACATTGTCGTGGTCTTATACATAGATTCATAGTTCTTGATGATCATGATGCGTGCTTTCTCTTGCACCAAAGTTTTTCCGCACGTAGCGAAAGTGAACTGCTACCTCCCCTCTAGGAGCTTCATGAAAGCTTCCACAAATCCACTAGCCAGGTGTAATTCAAAGAACCTCTGTGACCTTGGGAGAAGAGGTAGAGGCGGACAAGGTCTTGCTGCAGATCGGCGTGGTGCTTAGAAACCAAAACAGTCCATTTCTTCGCGGCTGAACACATGTCTTCAGAACAATTCTAAGATAATAAGGAAACAGAAGAAAAATGCCCATTGGAGTAAATAAAAAACATTTACTGCCAATCTAAAGTATTCGATAAACTGAAATAACCGAGTTACTGACTGAAATAAGGGAGGTAGCTCTGACAGGGCTACTCTTCCTTGTTCAGTATCTCGCTTATTGTAAGTAGTTACTCGCTTATTTCAGTTTTTCGAAAGTAGATGTTTCATCTGCAAGCCTTAACTTGAGTTCCGAGGTTCAAAAAGTGTCCCGTTCTTGTTGCATTCGCTTTTTTGATGTCGAAGAGGACCCTCTTGGCGTCTGGACTCGACTTTTGAACTGCTGGAGAAGCGCTGAAAATTAGAAATAGAAGAAATCCCATGCTTTCAGGTCAGGAAAAGCCATGTGGAAGTGGATGTGAGTGAACGAATTCCAAAAAATAAGCAGCAACGAACTTTTGTTTCTTCTTGTTACAGCAAAACTACAACTAGCAGAAGCAGACTCAACCATAAAGTAGTAAGCGGCAAAGATCTCTCCACTGCTTGCATCGCAACCGCTTCGCTGCCGATATAGTCGGGCTCTTTGTCCAGGAGGTTGTTACGGCGTCGAAGACGGGACCAGCTAACCTCCCTAATGTTCCACCCGACTCGGTTCGGGAAGAAGGAGCTCACGTGATTTTGCCGGAAAGCTGCTGAGATTTCTCCACGCCCTTAGAAGAGGACGAAAAGAGACGAGGATCAGGTCCAGGTTCGTTCCTAACCAGGTCCGTATACTATCAGGTCCTCCAGAGGATCAGGTCCTCTGGAGGGGGGGTTCGTATACTATAAATTAGGGAAGGGGGGGAGAAGTAGAGCCCCCCCTCCAGAGGTCGTGGGAGTTGTCGTGATGAAGATCATAGTTTTAGTTGTAAATTCAAGCACAGTCTACACATTCACATGGTACTAGTCAGTTGTACTCGTCAACATTGATGAGCAGAAAGTATAAAAATCCCAGTAACGCTAACGACCCCATGCCATAATAATCAGGATCATCCCCTTTGACGTCATCCTCGTCGTCTGAGGAATCGCCCTGTTGTTCTGTTTTGCTGCTTCCAAGATGAGCAGAAACCTTCCTCCACACGAACCCAAACGGAGAGAGCGCTGTCCAAAAAACGGATTCTGTTGTAGGATGTGAATGTGGATGATCATAAATGTGAGACTGAGATGATCATGCAAGGGTGGTATTCGATTGGAGGTGTGAGTAAGAATGAAGTAAATGATGTGCGAGTAAACCTTAGATAGTCAAAAAAAATTCCACATGAGATAAAAGTTGGATAATTAAGATTGTCTCAACAACATCAACATCATGTTGATCGAAGCTTCTCCCCCTCAAATGACTCAACATAAATAAGAGTACTTATAGGACCACACAAATAGCAGACAAGCCAGCATGTGCATCGGAAGACTTTAGCTGGAGATATAAACGGCCAGGGGAATGGCCAAGAAAACCACGTAGACTCTTCAGTTTTTGTCGCTTTACTAGAAGAAGGCGCAGAAGGTGTCGTACTATTCTCGCGAGGGTTAGATGAGATCATGATTATACTATAAGAGAAGTAGATTGATAGATCATGACGACGCTAGTAGAGGAGAGCTGCAATAGAAGTGAACATCAAGACCACGCTTTCTACTCTTCTAGAGAGTGCTGAAAGCCTCGACGTCACATGTATCATGACTCTAAAACTACATGTGGATCTTTCACTTTCAGCTACAACAGCATCAGAAGAGAAAGGCAGCTTTCATAACTCCATTGTCCTGCTCCATGCTCGCTATTTCCACGCTGATTTCCTTCTTCATTGCAGCCTTTCGATCCCTCACTTGCTATGAAAGGAAAAAAGTGCACTCACACTCAAAAAACAAGTGGCTCCTTTCCCACTTAAATCTTAGCCGCCAATTATTTCTTGTTGAGTGTGAATGCACTTTTTCCTGTGGTCATACTTGTCTAAAGACTTCTAGTCGTGGATTCAGGTAACTGAGACTCAGTCTCCGAATCTTCGCGCGATGCTGCACCGTGGTCAAACGAAGGCCCTTGACGAACCGTGAGTTCGTCGCTCGCCACCCAGCGACTTCCGGAATGGGTCTACCAGTCGTCGTCTTGGTGATCGAAATCGTGTTGTTACGCGCTGTCAGATTCGTAGGCGGATTCAGGAATTGGCCTTGTGGCGTGACAACAGTGTGATGCCAGTTGAAGGACTGGAGCTCTCTTGCTAGCATCATTTTCGGCCACTTCTTCAGTGCTTTGTCGCGCAAGAGAGCAAAATGGCGATGAAAAGCTTCGCGATGGAGAAACACTTTCCTTCTCATTCGCATTTCTCGCACGAGGCGACTCCGGCGCAACAATCGGGCGTCTACATGTCCAACTCTGTTTTTCGCGATCGCATCTGCAGCATTCGGACTAGTACTGGAAGATGAGGTCGTAGAGGTGGTGAAACCGCGGCTTCCACTACGTGCAAACGATCTAATTTAGACGATCGAGGATAACGATAATTCCTGGAGAAGGACGTCTTCAAACTCATCATCTTTCAGAGCAGCATGCTTCTGAACAACAATCAAGTTCCAGAAGATTGATCATTCCATCTTTGGAAAAAATAAGCCAATAAAGCCTTAATGAATCTGAGCTTTAACATCCTCATGCTGGTGAGGGCCTTCCACGATAAAATTCTTTTTCATCTGCAATAAGTGCCGCTCTTCATCAAGCAGTCCGCAGAACAGCGGTCCTGCGTCATCCTTAGACTCTTTCTACTGTCCTCCTGGAAAAACTGAGAAGGTTCTCGGAGACGAGTGTTACTAATACTAATTATGTATATCCGTGGCTCCTCCTGAGTGGGTTCTCTTTCTTCCTACCTTCTCTTAGTAAAATCCCCTTCACGAGGACCGTCATCAAAGGGGAACGAACCCACTCTCATCTCGTTGTACTCAGCATGCTTAGTTCTTAGACATAGCCGGACCTGATCATGGAATTGGATTCGGGATAGAGAACAGCAAACTAGCCTTAACATCCTCGTCGCCTTCTTTGCGATGCGTAAGGGGAATCTCGCACACTAAATCTTGATCCAGTCCAATCTTACGCAGCGTAGAAATCGGTAGCGCAGAAGGCAACACGGCGATTCTTACTTCGAGGACTTGAATTTCATCCACCAAAATGGTCGTTCCCTTGTAGAACTTATCCACGATGGCGCTGCCACTAGGTTGCAGCGTGCTGTCCGACGCAGTCGTGGAGGCGTCGTTGCTCCTTGTCGAAGATTCTGTGGCGCTGCTCGCAGTGGTCGAGGAGTTTATTTTACCTCCACCAGCTTCACCAGAAGAAGAAGAAGTTTTTGATGTAGTGCTATTGGTGTTGTATAATTCTTCGATAGTAGTGGCGGTGGCAGTAAGCCTATCGAGTTGCGCTTTTGCATGTGCAGATAAAGGGATTCGCTTTCCTCCTACGGTATGAGAATTAGAGCTTTTTTCATCTGCAACTACGGGACGAGTCCATGTTTTTCATTGATAGAAGTCCTCGACGACCTCTTCCGCTAGAGCATACTAACTTACTATGTCTCCTTTAGGAGAGAAGAAAAAGAAACCACGCCATAAAATAATTGTCACTATCCCGGAAGGTACGAACCACGTAAGTGGCATTGCGTTTGGTCACGTGGGTGTTATTCTGCTGGTCCCATCCAAAAAGTTTGTTGGAGTCAAAAGCCATCGTACACCGAATCACATACTCCTTGCGCTGATTATCCCAATGTAGCTTGGCGAAGGGAAGGAGCCATTAGAGTGGGCGGGTGCGGATGATTCTTGCGTGCTGTAAGTAAATTATAACCATTTGTACAGTGCGCCGGATTTTTTGATCAAGTCTAAAAATTATGTGTTGTCGCAAAATAAAATGGTGAAGTAGAGTAGAAGCTTCATCAAGATATTAGAGAAAGAAATCATGAGACAACTGGGCGTTAGGTCAGGGTTTGGACACCTGGCCTGTGAAAACTTCACGGAATGGCAGCTATACGAGATAGCAGCTCTGGCGTATCACGACCATAAAAGAACGGCGATCCTTCTGGAGTAGTGTTCGGTTCTGGCACTGTTATGTCAGATTTAAGGTGAATCCGGTCCGCTCGCAAACCCATCGAAAATCCCGCCAAAGCCTTGACAACGACGTCTTCTTTCGAGTCTTCTTGAGGGAATTAGATGAGGAGGTGATTGTATTATTTGCATTTGGAGGACGGTTAATTATCATTAATATTGGTATATTAGGCTCAGCCTGCTCTGACTGGTGCTAGAAATATAAATTATATACTCACGAAAACAATTTATTAAATAATAGAGGAATTTATAGGGGTGCCAGATCCGGGATAGGATGGGTCGGATGGATCGGATGGACTTCCCACCATTTCAAGTAGGATCGGAAGAATCAGGGGGGTCCATCCGATCCATCCGATCCATCCAAGTCCATTCTATAAACTACTCTAAAATAAATGGTCTTTTCAGAGGCCGCATCATCTTCATCAATTCAATTTCTTGAGGAGCCTCCACATCAAGTAGATCAAACATAATTGTCTTCCGCGGGTATCTTGTTCTGTGCCTCATCCTCTTGTAACTGCGGTCCATTCAAGCGAGTCATGACTCTCGAGGTACCTGCGCACATGCGCAAGTTTTTCATGCTTGGGCGCAATCTCATCAATCCTTTTCTTAGATGAGCTGCTGCCGCGTTAGCATCATTGTTGTAATAGGTTGTTCATCCTTGTATTGTATGTTGGTCCTCCCTTTGATGTCAAGTAGAAAATATAAAAGGTCCAAAACAGATGCTGAGGATGCTTGAGCGGTAGCTGCTGCCTTAACTTTCCGAGGACTGGGAGGTCGGGGATCAACACTGGTGGCCGTTGAAAGTTATGATCCTTCGCATCGGTGTTGAAAAGCATAACGTCTTCGTTTTCCAATTTGGGCTTGTTGATGTACTCCATAAACCGTCGCATCAGATCATGATCGTACCTGGTGCTAGCCTTGTTTTTCTTATCGCCTTGTTTAGCACCTTGTCTTTTCTCCTTATTTTTGTTCATATCTCCAGTACTAGAAGAGCCTCCACCTCGGTTTTTCTTCGACCCCTTTGTTCCAACTCTCTTTCGACGCCTTAGCGACGCCGGAGACGGCATAAAGTCGAGTATTGCACTAGTTCCTCCATGATTCACGCCTATGGTTAAATTCGAAAACACTCTGCCTTGAGGGAAAGGGACAACGCTTTCTGGCGCCACAGACTCTTGCATATGCCAGGAGAGACTCCCACCAGCAGACACACCCAGCAGATTGTGCATGGAGAGGTCGTCCCTGTGGAAGGACATATCCGATGCAGTGAACGTCTGAATAATGTGCTCTTCATCATCATCTTCTTCAGCGTTACTCTGCGGCTGTGCTTTTTCTTCTTTGGACTGTCCCCAATAGATGTTGACGATGTGTAACAGCCCAGCGTAGTGATCCGCTACCACGCCAGACGCAGGCAACGCCCCACCAAGCAAACCAGAAGGAATATAGGTGCCTTCATTCCAAGTCAATTTCACCACACGAAGATTGGGGTTCTGCTCCACCAGAGTCACAGTGTCAGCATCATCTTCATCTTCTGGGTTGCTCGTACGTTCTTGTGCTGAAGATGACGTAGAAGATGACGCACCAGAACCAGATGCTGAATGCTTCGTGTTATCTGATGAATCCTCCTCCTCGTCGATGCAATCTTCGTCCTCAATGCTTCGAAGATGCTTCGAAGAGCGTGGAGTTCCCTTGGGTTTTTCTCTGCCAGTCAATCGAGAAAAAATCTTTTTCCAATTATAAGCAAGCCGCGACGGAATCGAAGAGATGCTGGAATCTTTATCCTCATCTGTTGCAGCAGCAGCAGCTCCATCTCGGGACTTCGAAGGGTTTTCTTTACAAGATTTTTTCTTTGATGTGCCAGAGGATGCAGATTTCTGATCTTCAGCATGTTTCTTCATTAGAGAACGTTACCACCTATATTCAATCATTTTCATCACCTTACTTGAAAAGTAGCATCTTTTTCGTGTTTTCCACTTGATGAAAACAAGGGGCTCTAAAGTAGGTGGTTAGGTTAGGTTGTGAATCCTTCACAGCGAGCCTCACAGGCACTTGCAGTAGGTGCAATTGCAATACGAATACACGACGGTAAAGATGATCAAGGTGCTTCTTGAGATGAATTGAATTACAGTACTGTAAAGCTCCCTAACCTTTGCTGCATGTCGTGTTCTCTTTGTTCTACGAGTTGAACTTTCGCATCCTCGACCATTTGGCGGTAATGCTTTTCCTGCTCGCCGATTGACGTGACTACCGGAATCCGGCCAAACTTTTGGCCCCAAAAAGTGTCGTACTGCTTCAACCAAAGATTGTCAAAGTCGTATGCTGGAAGCAAGTCCAAGCCCGTGCTGGGGGCTTTGAATGTTTTGGGAATTAGAACTGGTAAGCGTGAACAAGAGATAAGAGCCGAGAAAAACGAGCCTGAATCTACCGCTTGTTCGAGTATGTCGCGCCTCCTTTTCGTTCATCTCCTCCTCTAGCTCTACGTCTATGAAGCTGAAGAGACTGATAGATAGCACACATAGAGATGACCATACTATAGAGCAGTTCATAGGGGTGCCAGATCCGGGATGGGATGGATCGGATGGAACGGAAACGGATGGACTTTCCACCATTTCAAGTAGGATCGGAAGAATCAGGGGGGTCCATCCGATCCATCCAAGTCCATCCTACATCCGTTCTATAAACTACTCTAATTACTAGGTAAGTAGATATTAATGACACTCCACCACGATGACACTCCACCGCAATTCTTAATAAAAGGTATGAGCGGTCAGACGATCCGCCTTTTCTCAGGATAGCAATCTTACGGTCCGTCGAAGCGTGCTCATCCTGGTCACGCGCAATCAACCACGGATAATTCGGCTGCTGGTCCAAGATTATGCGGCGGTAAGTAGGCAAGATATCCGTCATGTCCATGTTGTGACCTAAATTAGAGGTACTTCTAACACTACAGTCGCGTCCCCCGGGGTAGCACTAGCATCTTCCTTGGCTATGATTTTCTTCCCCCCTACGACCCCTAGGAGCGATGCTTTGGAGGGGTGTCAAAAAGGGGGGCAAAAAGACCCCACTTTGACACCCCAAACGACCTGGGTCATTTGGCGACCATTTTGGACCAAAAAGGGTCGCCTTAAGGCACCACCTAGCCCCCACTAGATGGGGCCGCTTCGGTCCTCGCAAAATGACCCGGCAGTTATAATTATCAAAAGAGGGGTGCAAAATGCACCCAAAGCAACGAGAAAAATCCTGGTCTAATGGCTTTCTTCCCCCCTACGACCCCTAGGAAGAGACAGCAAGCCAACGAGGACGATACGAATACTACAAGGGCTAAGAGTAAGGTTCAAGCAGGTTCAAGATTACAGTCTAGATCATGTAGATTCAAAATCATTGCCTTAACCAAAGCATGAGGCGCGAAAGCCTCCATCTCCTCCTCTTCCATCTCATATTCGAAGTTGCGCAGTAACGCCAGTAAAGGATCCACGTTCTTTTTAATAATCTCCTCAGCGAGTCGGGCATCTTCAATCTTAGCCTTGCCCATGTATTTAGACGAGTTCAGGACTGCGACTAGTGCTTGGGCGAATAGGGGTTACGACCCCATTGATGAATGGGATGGAAAGGTCGCGGGCGTGCGCGTCCTCTAGTATGTGGTCCCTGCGTTTAGGCTTACGTTTGTTTCTATCAATCCGTCTATCTAATAATGGAAAAATGATCCAACTAAGTATTATCTACTCGTGCCTTAATCGACCGATAGCTATTCCTCGTGAAATTCTTCACCTTCCCGGTTCTCGTGTACAAAGCGTCCTCCAAGCGATGGTCCATGTACCTTGTCCAATATTCGTTTAGAGTCTGCTGGATTGCATCTCGGCCCCCTCATCTTGACCCCTTTTACCTTGTATTTCATCAGAATACAAGGGAAAAGGGTACCGAGATGCCGAGAAAGATGGACACTAAATGTTGACCTTAACTCGTCATCGACGATGCTCCATGGATAAGCCTTGCGCACCAAATGTTCGGTCCCATCAGGATCGTAAACTACATCTTCATCAGGAGGAGAGGTCTGGCGCAAGAAGCGACGGCAGTGATTAGAACTACAGCTAGTAAAAGTAATGTGCTGCTAGTGCAGCTTGCATAGTTTCTCCGAAAAAGCAGTATGATCCGCTTCTTGGCCGTTGATATAATATATTTCTCCTAAGAGCCTCTTGCTCATGGACGATACTTTTGTTCCCCTGAATATTAAGACGATGATCGATTACATTTACACATACTTAGCCAACGATCGTACCACACCATGGATACTTGTTTTCCCCTGAATAAGACGATCAACATTACATTTAGGGAAACCACACTAAAAGATGAATGCTCTCTTGCTCTTCTTGGCCTATGAGATGATTGCCGTAACATGCCTTGCGTGTATTTCTCTATTCTTGGTGTTCGAAAGGTCTATCTGGTGTCTATGCTTTGCGAAATCCATCCACTCTTTTGTTACCATTTTATCCACCGACAGCGCAACACTCTACTTAGCGCATGTAAGGATGGAAGGAATGTAGTTGAGCAGAAATCGTCACCGACTTCTTATATAATCCAAGCCATTATCTTAAATTAAGATAAAGAGGCATATCATTTAAGATAAAGAGGCATGATCCTCGAAGAAGAGTATCTTCTATACTAGCTGCACTGAAAAAATACTCTAAGATAAAGAGGCATATCATTTAAGATAAAGAGGCATGATCCTCGAAGAAGAGTATCTTCTATACTAGCTGCACTGAAAAAATACTCGAGCATACTGATAGTCTTCCGGAATGCAGGAGCGCTGAGCTAGCTGCATGAATTATGATCATGTACAGCCTCAACCTTAATACTTGTATTAGCCAGGAGGGATCCCCCCTACAGGTTCTTGAGGGATGATCCCTCAGAGACGTAGACGACCATCTGGTACGTTGACCATCTGGTTCGTTGAGGGATCATCACAATCTGTCAACATCAGGAGACACACGACGACCATAGATGATGCATGGAGGACTACTCTATACGTCATGTCATGGTGCCTCTTATGTAGCTATTAGTGTCTTCTTGTGAATCATGATGAATTATGTACAAAAGCCGTAACACTGGTTCTAGCTACATCTTTCCACTTCTGCAGTAAAATAGCTTCTTGCTCCCTCTGGGCATGCAACTGTTCGATAACGCCGTGGGTCAAGACGCATTTGGGTTAGAAGATTACCCTTGATGTGTCAGTCTTCGAAGGTGATGTGAAGCGAGTACTACTAGAGAGGAATGACATAAGCAGTACCGTGAGCATGACGAATGGACAAAGACGAAGGTGGATATCGTCAAGCGGTATATTAACGATAAAAATGAAATAATAATGAAGATCGCCCGGAACACAGTCATATAAGTAATTCATGTTCATGATGAGACCACATGCTTATGCTAATATCTTCCTGTGCTATCAATATTAAAGAGCTAAAAAAAAATTCTACAACAACCCCGCCAAACTCTCACTCTCCCACTTCCAAACCCCAAACCCATGAACTTATGAACCGAACTTAGGAACTTAGGAACATAGGAACATAGGAACATAGGAACTTAGGAATTTATGAATTTATCCATTAGGGAACATATGAGTTTATGAATTTATGAATTTACGAATTTACGAATTTATGAATTTATGAATTTACGAATTTACGAATTTATGAGTTTCTGAATTTCTGAGTTTCTGAATTTAGGAATTTCTGAACTTATGAATCTACGAATCTATGAATTTGCGAATTTCTGAGTTTCTGAATTTAAATTCCAAGGAAAGCGCTTAAAATCAAAAATTGTGGGATATTGCCCCTCCATACTCGCAGAATTCAATCCCAAAACGACGAAAAAAAGCAAAAAACTAATTTTCGAAATTTGAAAAACGGGAACGCAAGAGAATGAATCTGAGGGAAGGGGCTTAAAGTCAAAAGTTTTGGGGTCTTAGCAGTTCACAATCGCGGAACTCAATCCCAAAACTACGCAAAAAAACGCTGAAAGTTTTCGAAATTTGAAAAACGCGAAGCCAAGCAATTGAAAGCCAGGGAAAGGGCTTAAAATCAAAAATTTTGGGACCTTAGTACTTCAAACCCACGAGCTTCAGTCGCAAAACGACGAAAAAACGGGGAAAATTTTCGAAATTTGAAAAACGCGAAGCCAAGAGATTGAACCTCAGGGAGAGGGCTTAAAGTCAAAAACTTTGGGACTTTAGCACTTCAAACGCACCGAACCCAATCCCAAAACGGCGACAAAATGCGGAAAATTTTCGAAATTTGAAAAATGCAAAGCCAAGTGGTTGAATCTCAGAGAAAAGGCCTAAAGTCAAAAGTTTTGGGGTCTTAGCACTTCAAACGCACGAGATTCAATCCTCAAACGAAGCCAAAACGTGGAAAATTTTCGAAATTTGAAAAAGCGCACACCACTCACATCTTTGCCGTGCTTAGTTTCTTACTTTGGGGAGGAGGAGGATCCTAGTGGGAGGGATGTTATCAGACGCTCCAAGGAGCTAGTATAATAAGTAATTCTTGCTCTACTCAACGAATTCGATCCTGCCAACATAATCATGTTTATAGTACGAAAAAACGTCATCTGATTCGTGTTCGTGCTCCTCCGGAAAGAAGAGCCACTGCAACGGTGTCGCCAGTCTGTAGTTCAAGCGCAAATGTCGTCTAGATTCCTCCCACATATTAGAACGATCTTCCTTGAGAGCTGTATATAGGGCTAACGATGTTCAAGCCCTTCTATGAGCTATGCTCCAGCACCTTCATGCTTGCATTCTTCTTGATTCATGGATGCTGCCGAGGATGCTCTCCTCGTCTTGGTTGCCTTAAAGATGTCAGTTTTCGTCGTTTCTGGTTTGAGAATTCGGATCTGATCTCGGATGGCGGCACGCATAATGCCAAGCTCGGACTCGGTGGAAGAGGACGTCAGCTTGCCAGCTTGGCTGGTTGTGTAAGCAGCGAGGACTTCGGCAAGGGGGACATTAGATGAAGAGGAGAAGGCGAATTAGTTTCATCCCGTTCAATTCTACTTCACCTTGTTGAAGTAGTGACTACTCGAAAGTCTTCAATATCAATTCCAATGGCCCGTTCCATTGAATTTTTTGAAAATATAAAAATATATTCAACTTCATTGATATATAATATAAAAATAAGTATAAACCCACACCCACTAGTACTTGCTCCTGCCTTAAAGGATAGCAAGGTAGCCTTAAAAGATAGGCCAGCTGCGGTGATATTTTTATCACCAAACTGGCCCGGCGGTGTCGTCAGAATGCGCCATTTCGTGTAGTTCATCACATCAAAAAATTCCTGATCACCCCAAGAGGACCGTGAAGCGGTGGTATTTTTCCCCCTTGGACCACCAGAGGGGTCGGCGCCGGGTAAATAGCCTCCATACGCAGAGAAAGCATCCAGACCACCCGGCGCACCAAGCTCATTCAGCATCGTCGCATTAAGTGAGGCGCTGAGTTGTCTCGCGATGTGTCTTTTAGAGGGAGAGGCTCTTCCGGAAAAGTAAGAGTTTCTCTATCTTCATCCTAAGAAGGGTCATCTTTGGTGGAATCATGTCTAACATGTTTCTCGCTAGATTATAAATAAGCAAATATGCTCCGAAGCACAAGCAGAGAGATTAGCCGTAATTCTAAACTTTGGTTCCTGCATGTAATCGTCGCTCAAAGGCTTTCCTCCGTTTGCTTCGCTGTCTACTCGTATAGCCTCCCTCTCCAGCATAGAGGTGAAAAAGGGCAATCCTCCTAGTTCTCCGGCAATGTGGTTGTTAGAGAATGCAGTTGGCGAAATTTTTCACCTACGAGTTTTTCATCTTGATAGAGATTCAGCATATCTTCTTCCGTGTGTTAGTTTAACCCTCTAGGAAAAAAAGCGCTAAGATCTTCCCCATCGTCAAACAAGATGCATGTTCCCCATCGTCAAACAAGATGCATCTCCTGCAGCTACTTCTGGTGCTTCTCTTCAAGCATGTCATGTCATGTGCCCTCCTTATCCATATGGTCTAATGGATTTGAGGTAGTTCAGTCTTTTTGTACCTTCAAAGAAGAGCAAATAGACCGAGTGATATACTATCTATAATTACACGACCAAATAAAGCAAGAGCTCCATAAGTTCACTTAGAAACAGCAAGTCTTTCTGTGGAGTGCGTATTGGTGATACCAAATTGGCGTGATTTGCGCCAGCGCCACGAGCTGCAGAGTGGTACTGATGAGCGGCCCAAGCCCTTTTTGCGGCAACTGTGGGGTCCGTTCGATCCTCGTCAGCGTTCAGACTCGCACACCGCATTTGGAGGTTCTGGTTGGCACTCCTAGTCGATGAAGAAGATGAGAAGGTTTCTCCACTTTTGCTGGAAGACGAACTCATAGCCGATGAAGATAGCTTTAGAACCTCATCTTCTTAGACCTTCCGGGAGTCTCCCATTTTATTGAGTCCAACTCATCTTGGTGGAGGACCCTCCAGTTTCCCCCTACTTACAGGGGAGGTCCAAGATGCTTTTCAAAATGGGAGACTGTCTTAATCGTCATCCTCATCGTCGTCATCATCGCTGGCACGGAAAATTTTTTTGGTGACGTTTATATTAGATGAAGTAAGTAGGCTTTTGGTGTTAAAAATAGCTTCATCTGATCCTGTTACTTCAAGTTCTGCACTTGAACTTGATTGATGTCCCTTAAAATAGAAGAGCAAAACTATAACTCCACTCTGTCTCTGTGTTCCTTAATTGTAGTAGTTGTGGCATTTGCAGACGTTGGAGAACTAGATTTTCCGGTTCCTTCGTCGTCGCCAAGGGGAAGAGAAGATCCTTCCAGATCTACGGTTTTTTGTTTTCCGTCTTTGTCTTTGTAGTTAAACACCTGTTTAGCTGAGCGTGTACAAATGAGGTCATCCATTTTGACCACATCGTCTCGGTCCCAGTCCTTCGGCATTTAGACCGTGTAGGTACACTAATAGAATCAGTAGTTTGTGATTAGAATCAGTTTGCCTCCACCTAAGTAATTCTTCATCTCCTTGGAGAGAAGTGCATCCTTGCTCTTTGACGAACATTTTCATCTTTTTCTTCTCCTTGAATGAACAAACACGTCAGAGGACGAGTACTAGTAGATGCTTCTAATGCTTCTTATTTTTTGCTTATCAAAATAAGGAGTTTGAATTCATGATTCGGAAAAAACTCAAGTAGTCTACAAGACGAGTCTTAAGGCAATGCGTCTTTTGCTGGTATACAGGTCACTTTAGTCACCTCTCGTCGAAATACGGTTCCAGAAGGTGCTGGAATCTGCGATAGGACTTCATCTAGCAAACTGTCCCTTTCTGTCTTTGCCGGATCGGCGGTCGTGCGGGGATTAGACAAGATTCAGAGGCATGCGCAGAATGTGTGAGAGAGGATGAGGAGGTAATGACAACTATTTCTAATATTTCTAGTATTGTACCAGTGACGTACTAACTTGCAACTACAAGAACTTCTGAGCTTATTCTAACGGATGATCGTCTTCAAAAATTGAATAGAAGAACAAGTTAGACGATCAAACTGTCCCTTTCTGTCTTTTGCGGATTCAATGATGTTTCACGATTTTTAGTAAGTCTAAGACAAGATTCTAATGTTCTAAAGATGAAAAGTGCCACGCATTGCGGACTAAAAAAAAGCAGTACTCCAGTACTAACAGAAATCGAAAGTCGATTGTACTTCCTATGTGAGATCTTCACATCAGCAAAATCCAAATTATTCGAAACAAGAAGGAAATTTAAATAAAGAAGAAGAAGAAGACTGTGAAGAGCACCTGAAAGAATCGTGAACTTCTACTAGTGAGTCATTGAATCAGTAGGGCCTTAACCGACGATTGTTCTTTCTTGTTGATAGTGTAGACTTCCGAGGATTTCGAGGAAAATAATTTGTTCAGGTCGGCAGCGGATAAAAGGGTTGGCTCGGCGCCCTCCGTCGTTTTAGAAGAAGTTTATAGGATAGTGATAGGGGAGGATAGGATAGAAGGGTGCCTACGTTTCGCCGCTTAAGGTTTCATCATACTGCATCCCAAACGACTATACTTAGCCATCGGCGCTTAAGGTTTTACTTTTACATGCCAATTGATGAAATGGATGCGGTTACAATAATTGTGTCCCAATAATTGTGTCTTTCGCTTTCTTTTATTTCCTCTTCAATTGCTTATCCTGACTACAATAATGGAGGAGACTATGAAAGAAAAAAGTGCACTCACACTCAAAAAAAGTGGCTATTTTCCTACTTAAATCGTAGCCAATTCCTTGAGTGTGAGTTCACTTTTTCGTTTCATAGAGACATTTTCAACATCGATAGAAGTAAGGACATTTGCTATTTGTTCTACAATAGTTAGTCAAGACATCTCCTGTACAATAGTTTGTTAGCTAGAGAGTAGTTAAGTACAACACCACGTCGGACATGAGATGCGGACAACAGTCAGTAGATTAAGACGCCTGTTCCTCTACTAGTATTTGCGTCTTAACTATCTTGATCTCTAATTCGAGTTTTCCGTTCTTGTTGAGCTTGGGAACAGAAATAACAGAAACATTCTTTTCGTTAGCAGTGGTACTCACATCGTCAGCACCAGTGTAATTCACGTCGCCTGGTCCTTTACTAGCCGCCTCAGGAGTACAGCTAGATTTATCTTCAGTCGCTTTCGCATATTCGCCTGATTCGTCACGCACGTTAGTCCTAGACTTCGGGTCGTCAGGAACAGTAGGATTTTCAATAGGATTCGCATCTTCCGTACCGTCCGTGCTAGGATTCGCACCGTCCGTGCTTGGATTCGCATCTTCCGTACTATCGGCATTCGCATCGCCCCAAGCGAAGGTTTCAGTGCCATCCTCGTCGTATGTACCTTCTAGTTTTGTTTCCAGCATCTCGGCGAGATTTTGGCCACCCTCTGCTGTTGTGCCGTCTCTCTGGACAGGTGGTTCCTGCGCACCCTTGTTCCGAGCTACAGCCTCCCGGTCTGTGTTGTCTGGAACAGTGGTTGACTCATCTGGAGGAACAGTGGTTGACTCAGTGTCGGTAGCAGTAGACCACGTGGTCTCGGATGGTACAGGAGCAGCTGCCGTGTCTTCATCTTCAAAGGGAACAGAAGGTCGTGCCGAATCTACACCATCCCAAGCAGGGTCTACTGAAGCCGCAGCCTCAACTTGGTTCGCAGAAGGGACCTCCGCTTCAACAGGCTCATCTTGCTTCGCACCAGAAGGGACCTCATTTTCTGCCTGTTCAGCTGGCTCGATCACGACAGGTTCTTCTACCGCTGCTGGCTGTGATTCCAGCATATCTACAGGCTCCTCGACAGCCACTTTTTGTTCACCATCTTCGCTTAGAGGTAGCTTTTTGGTGTTCGTTTATCCCGTTCGTTATGCCTGTCTCCCTTAGCAGAGGCAAAACAAACGCTAACAAGAACACCTTTTTTCAACCTAGTACCCTTAATTCGCCTTGGACTTGTTCCTGTAGTGGTTGATTACGAGTTGTAGTAGACACTGTTGAACTTGGTACTGCAACAGTGTCCTCCTCATGACCATCGACGTCATCTTGTCGGACTCTCGAAACCGAAGATGCCTCTGCACCCTGCTCCACTTCCTCTTGCTCGTCACCATCACGACCCTTCTCATCAGATCTCTTTGGCCCAGCGACGTCTGGCAAAACCATGGACAACATTTGTCTAGTAAGCGCCGCAACATCATCCAGATCCTTCTGCTTCGCTCGTTCAGAGGCACTAAAATAAAAATTAGAATCGTGGAGCTCATATCAATGCTCATCCATCTCATCAAAAACATCTTCGTAGTTCTTATAGCGTGAAAGTGAATCCTTGAATTCCTTGAAGAATGATCAAGGGCTTCTGAAGATGCTACTCAGGACGATGGCTACTTAGGCTTAGCAATGATTTACAACATTTATTAGGCAAAATCGCCGTAATATCCTCTGGCACCCGCACGTTCTCAACGTCTTTTGCTAGGATTTGTTCCTGCTCCATTTTGGCCTGAAGTCGCACTTGCTGTTCGAACTTAGGTTCCCCGACACGTGCTGCCTGGACATGGAGGTTGATCCCCCCAAAAGAAAGAGTATATGTTTTTGGCTCCTTGGTACTTGATGCGGAGTTGGCGGGTTTCCCTTTGATGTCAACATCTTTTTCATTAGTACTCCCTTCTATATTTTCTTCAATTTCATCATCTACTTTCTTGGTGTCGGTAGGTTCTTCTTCATCTTCTGCGTTGTTGGAATGTTCATCTCGTCGTCCTTCAACGAGTGTGGCAGCTTTGGCTTTCGCTTCAATATCATCTGGGAGCACAACATCAATGTCACCATACTCCTCAGCCTCAGCACGCGCGTCTAATTCTTCGTGGTCTACAGAATTCGAAGCTTTTCTTGAGGTACTACTTGTAGGAGTAGTAGAAGCTGCTGCAACTTTAGAAGATGCTTTTTTAGATGATTGCGAATACTCTTGGGCTTGTTGATGCGCATTCTGTTCTTTCGTTGTCGTAGTCGTAATGACTGTCGTAGAAGGAGTTGTAGTACTACTACTTGTTGTGCTACGCGAAGATATGGTCCCTTTCAGCTTGGCTACATCTGCCGTACTACCGCCAACTAGGTCATCCGGATTTTTGCCTTCGTGGAGCATACGAGTGACGTCATCCCTTAAGCGTGCGATTTCTGCGTCCGTCTTCACCGAATTCTTAGAAGTCAGAAAAAATTATTAATGGTGGGGAACAATAATCTTCTCCAATATCAATTGCCTACATGCTAGGTACGTGTAGTTGATACGATCAGGACTAGAAGAACGGCCTCTTTCTTTGTTTACACGACATGGCCGGTCATGTTGTCCACTCAACTTTCAATTTTCATAGTTCTACGAGTACGAATAACTCTATAAGAGTAAGCATGTAAATCTTTCATCCTGTCGTAAACCCACTTGGACTTGCTGTAGTCGTTGCTCCCGTTGTAGAGGACGTCGAGGTTGATGAGGTTGACGTACTCCTGGACGTGGAAGTCGGAGTACTCGTTTCGGCATGCTTTTCAAGTGCTGCATTCGCTCGGTCTCTTGCCACCGCAAAAACGTCATTAAGCAAGCGCCTGGCTTCTAAACGGTGGAATTTGACTTCCATAGCCTCGAGTTGCACTTGGATCGCTGCAATCCCTTTCAAAGCCTCCTTCTCAAGCTTCTTCTGTTCTTCAGGATCTTGGGCGGTCGCGTTTTTAGCAACTACCGCATCGATACGTTTCGCTTCCGCTAGTAAAGCGTCAAGATGTCTTTCGTTCTCGTCTGTAGCTCGACAATACTGGTCCAACATTAGGTTGACCCCGCTAGCTAGTGCTAGTTTCTCTTTCTGCTCGGCTGACTCAAATGTCAACTCATTCGATCGACGTACTGGAGAAAAACCATTCTTGTCGCCGAGAGCTACTCCTGTATCCATTTCGCCTGAACGAGAGGCCTTGACAGGACACATCGTTTCTTCCTGCTTTGGCGGTTTGACTTCACCGTACTCGTTCTTGTGCCAGGGGGGTTGCGCGCCTCCGTACACAACGCTCATCCGGCTTGCTGGCAACATCGTCACGTACAGTTCTGCAGGCACGCCACTAAGTCGAGTCGTTCTGGCATAGACCGCTTCTAACAGGTAGAGCATGCTCGAGGCTTGTGAAGGGTTGTAGCTTGGTCTCAACCTCCTCATTCGACGGCCCATGATGTCTAGATGGATAGAGCTCTTGCGATCGGTGTTATCCTCCATCAATTTCTGCAGTTTCTGGTCGTATTCATCCTCGCTCAGGGGCTTTTCGAAATTGCTTAGAAGAGGTGCTGTCAGTGGCTGACTGCTGCTCAACAATAAATGAAGATTGGTGCTTCTTTTATTGCTGAGCTCTACATGGACATCAACATCATGATCAGAACCAAACAACTAGATGATGAAATAGAACTTCTGATGTTACTTCTAATTACAAATACTAAAAATCACACGCAAGAACTACAATAACAAGTTGCTTCCAGAGAAAAACAAGAACACCACCATCAGCAACCACATCAACCTCATAAATCATCATCAATCAGCAAAGCAGAAGAAGCCACGCTTCTTCCACCACCGTAGATACCCTCATGGGCAATCGTTTTCCAGGCATGCTGACTGGCTCTGCCAGCAGAAGCAGAAAAGAGACCGGGATATGCTTTCGTTAGATCATACAATAAAGGAGGTATTTATCGTACACAGGGATCTGCAGTTAGTTTGTATTCACCTCGTAAGTGCAATGCTGCCAACAACGTGCCAGCAAAATCCTGATGAAGAATCTACTCGCAAAGGGAAAGGTGTCAACATGATCTGTGTCATGTCCTGGCACCTCTTGTGTTGTAGCTATTAACATTTTTGTCTACTTGTAAGGCCAACCAGGAAATTCTACACTTAGACTTACAACATACTGAGATTTTCAGAAACATAACCTCGCATCGACAAAGCTCGTCTTCACATTGTCTTTGTTGTACTTCATCAGCCATTCCTCACTGCCGGGAACGAAACAGACGGCGCGTTTTTCATCCAGAGGTTCTAGAAATTAGAAACAAACGGACACGCTTAAACCCACATGCGAATTTTAGGGAAAATTAGGCAGCCATAATATCCCCTAATTTTCCCTAAGTTTTGACCTCCTCCACAAGCGTGTCCGTTTGTTCATAAAGAAATTGCTTGGAGAAATATACTGCTTTGTACATCTCTGCCACACTTGGCTGGCCTTTGCTCGTCGACGAAGACGAGGCTCTCGTTGAGCTTTTCCACAGCTCTTTCTTCTTTTTCTCCTCCGCTTCTTTGGTTAGTTAGAAGAGGTTGTACACAGATACTTAAGACATAAACAAGTAGTAGGGAACTACAATGAGCAGCGGCCAGCAGTGAAAGTGTGAGTATAGAATGAATGTGTCTACAACTACCTGTAGCAGGGTCAGACTCAGACTCAGATGGGCTCCTGCCTCAGCCCTGCGCATTAAGCACCGGATCGGCAGAAATTAAATTTGAGGAGCAATACATCATAGCACTCACTCTTAATCACTTTCCTCCGGGGGCTGATTCTCGCGTCCGGAATTCTTCGAGTCATTTTTCGCAGATGTTAAAACTCAGCACTCATTGGTCATCATGACTCTGAACGGAAGAGACCCCCCCCAAGGCTCTCCCCTTTCCCTTCATTTAGTTCCGCTGTTCTACTCTCAAGGGGAGGTCGCCTTTTCGATCTCAGTGTGAATGGTTCAGGTATTTGGTAACCTGAGTTTGATCCTAAGGGTTCTCTTCTTGTTTTCCCTTAGGATCAAACTCAGGTTACCAAATACCAGAACCATTCACAGTGACCAACCCCAATGACCATTGAAAGTTGAGCCTTAAAGATGAGTACCACGTACGCAGGTACATGTCCACCAACTTCGTTGTTTCAGGCTTCCAAGAAGCGGAATCTTCAGTTTGATCAATCTTCGGATTCAGCTCGAGAGGCTGCACGAGAAAAAAGGCCGCTCCATCAGTGCGTTTGGTCATATCCAACAATGGCGCAGGTTTGAAGTTACAGAAAATCGACAACAGTTCCCCACCAACCAAGGCCTGCAAAACATTTCCACTACCGTAATGATTTCTAATCAAACTCGCCAACGAATATGGCTCCTTCTTGTTCCTTCCGAATGTTGCGGAGGATTTTTTAGCTCCAGCTCCAGGTATCGATTTCGACTCAGGAGATGATTTGAGAGCGCCAGCGGACGCGGACAAGTCTACGTTTCGTAACATCAGCCCCATCCAGCTGTGTAGGAACATATCGACAACCCGTTCGCTAGACCAATAGAGGTTAGACTACTTTGGACAAACCCATCTACTTGGGAATCATCTGCGACCGACGTGCTTTCCCCATCAAAGCAGTCCTCTCAAGATGCTTGTGAAGATGGATCATTTGTGGAAGCCTTAAAGGAAGCAAGCCCATTCTCACGGTCAATGTTCTTGGCTTCGATAGCAGCGGTCATCTCGTCAATCTCTCGCCTCAAATCTTCTGTTGACAGATTGTTTTTGGCTGGACTTTAGAACAAGGGGAGGAAAAACGTGCTAGAGGATCATCGGGTGAAGAAATAGTAGCTGGTCGAGGTAAAAATCATGTTGTAGTACAGTGAGTAAATAAGTAATTCCATGTTGACTATGATGTATTCTGAGTCTTGACGACAAGTGCTCACATCTTCGAGGATTGAGCCAGCATCTTTTGTTCTACTAAAAGGCGCTCGCTATGCAAGAAAAAATCGTCCTACTTCTACGTTTGCTACCATAAAAAGGATTTCCCTCATCATCGAAGCGTACTTGATGTAGTGACTTCCAGCCGCCAGCTCGCCTGAAAGATGAGGTCCACAAAGCGATGATATCCGACCATTGACCAGGGAAATTCGTCAAGGTAACGTTTTGGTGTTAGAGATTGTCGGTCCTACTCGTGGAGGTCCACTGGTTCACTTACCGATCAATTCTTGCTACAACAAGAAAGAAGCACTTCGATAAACTGAAATAATAGAATAACTAGTGAAAGTAATTGACTGAGGAACGCCCCTATATCATACTGAGGAAAATAGTCGCCAAGCGATCCGAAATGACCCACAAAACACCTTAAAATAAGAAAAATATGCTCGGCTTTCTAATTTTTCAAGTAGAAAACGAACAAAACTAGCCATATATTTTCTTATTGTGGACTAATTCTGACTAATCAAGACGCCTATTTCGTCTTGTCTGATAATATAGGAAGGTCCTGAACGAAAAATAAGGGAGAGGCTGAAAGAAGAGGAATTAAAATTATGTAGTCAAATAAACTCTCTTATTTCACAGTAACTGTAACTCCCTTTTATTTTGAGTTTTCGAATACCCATAACTATGATGCCCCCAATACTGTGGTTGCAGGATTCGGCTTTGACGATACTCCTCAGCCGCGTCATGAACGTCACCAATGAAGTATCGTCGGGTGTGCTTCACTAACGTCTGTCTTCGTTCTTCTTCTAGCGCTCTCTGTTCTTCTTCCGCTGAGAAAGGATTAGAGACGTGGGGTACGAGGTCCTCCACTATGAAAAGTAGTGATCGAGATCGTATTAATAAGTCCAAGTAACTTCTACTTCTAGACATTATGCTTATTATAATGCTTTCTTTTGCAAAGCTATGGAGTAACAGTACGCAAAAAAAGCGCTTTTTTGTACATTATTCGCCTCAGAATGAAAATTTTCCATTTTGAGACGAATACTGCCCAGCTGATCCCTGGGCTTTATATGCGTTTTTTGGCCAAAAAAACACTTTTCTATGTTCGCTACTTTTGGCATAGTGTTACTCCATATACAAAACGATTTCTGGATCTGGAGTACTAAACAAGCCATTTGCTGGAGTACAACACACAAAATTATCTTGACGAGAACTTCTACTCATTTAGCTCCACATACACATACTGCTCATACGACATCAACCTAGAGGCCATAATCTTAGCCGCGGTTCTATTCTTCTTGTTCTTCCAAGAGATCATGGAGTATTTGTCATCGCCTTCATCTTCTTCTGAGGTGTCAGAAGAAGGGGAGTTCGTCGATCGAAACATCCTGCGACCACCGCCGCCTAAAGTAGAGGTGGAGTTGTCCGAGTTCGTGGTACTAGCATGATGGAGATCATGATCTTCGTGAATCGAAGACGTACTACTTCTAGCTTTATTTTCCTCATCTTGCTTTATTATTTTCCTCTGCTCTTCTAATTCCTCTGCGATGTCTTTCGCACCTTCCTCACGTCTCCCCACTACTTCTGCGCCCGACACACCGGGGAAGAAGACCATTTTCAAGGAACGCTGCTTTCCGTTGGACCATGCTGTGACACCGCGACCATGCAAGAGGTCGTGAAGTAGCCCAGGTGGGTGCATATGCACTGCTTTGGAGGTAGTGATGTTCTCAGCGTTTACCACCATTGAGGAAGTTGTAGAATTACTTGTGTCCTCCGATTTTTCCACGGCAACAACGCCATCGACGGTGGAAGTTGTATTTCTTGTTGTGCTCCCACCGGCGGTCGGACCCATATTAGTATCAACCACTTGATGCTCGAAAAACGCACCTTGATCCTGGACCACAATCGAGTGAACCTCGTACTTGGCGAAATCAAAAAAGCTCTCGTCTTCTCCGAGTTGCGATCTTACCTCAGCCCAGAGTCGGACACTCATCATCCAGTCATCTTGCTGCAATGCTGCGTTGGTGGGCAAGAAAGGTAACAAGTCGATGCTGTCTTGGATTAGAAAGTAAATTATACAACTACATAAGTGAACTACTAGTATCGAATTTCGATGGAGGAACTAACGAGTGGGTATTTTCAAGCGCCTGAAAAGATAATTGTCAAAAAAGAAAGCAGTCCTTAACTTCAAAAATTCCGAGGCTCGAAAACGATGATCCTCATGTAGGTGGCCGAGAATGCGGGAGCATTTCGTCGAGCTCAAGGTCTCTACATTCGCCGGATTACGTCTTGCTGCAGCGAGTACTTGTGCTCGTTCCTCCACGGCCATCCTGGTCCACCATACATTCCTAGCCTCTCTCGTTGCACCAGAAATCAATTCTTCATTGTCAAAATTAGAGCTACCGCATTTTTGATCATGCCATGAGGATCCTTGAGTCAGCTTTTTTGATTTCGCCAAGCAACGTCCTTGGCTTCTGTTAAATTCATCAAGCAGAAAAAGAGCCAATGTTGCTCGATGAATGTTGCTCGCTGAGGATGCATTAGCATTACCCTGCTTAGCCGCTCAGGCTGCATAATTATCCTTAACAATAGCCTTAACGAAATGATCCAGTGTTGGCTGGTTCATTTTCAGCTCGTTCCGGTTGTCCTTACACTTTGGCTTCATTTTCCAACCTCGATTTTTCAGCCTCTCCTCTTCCGGTGTAAAGATCCGACATTAGAGTGAGGAGCTGCAGCACGGTATGTAAGTTTTTAAGTGGGGTTATTTAAGTATTTGAATGGGAGGCAGCATGTAGTCCGATGGAAAAAAAAAACTCGCCCACAGAAATACTGACAAAAACATCTTGATCTTGACCTTGAGAAGAATCATCTACTTGTTACCTTGAAGAAGCCGTTCTTGTTTTCCCTTTGGAAATAAACGGGATGAAGACAGCTCCAAGATGCTTGTTCAGA